GAGTCCTGTATTTTGACTTCTATTTTGTTTGTTGTTTTCAATAAAGTTTTTATATTGGTATTTAGGTTTGTGAAGTTCTACGACTGTATCTTATATTTACCTATGAGGTTAGTTTCTAATCAAATAGTGAGCTAAGAAATAGTAAGACACGTGTGCCTCGGCAAGTGTATGGGGAAAAATTCGAAGTAGACGTTAATTTTTGAAATGGAAAATCAGAGGGAATCATCCTACGAAAGAACCTACAGTTCAGAGTGTTTATAGGAAAAGTTTGAAATGTCTCAAAGGAAAAGCACGTTTTGGACAAGTTAATCTATTTTGAGAAATGTTATTTTTTGAGGAAATTCAACAACAACAGCAAATATCTGCCTCCAGAAAATAGGGAAAGTCGAGACACAGATCACAATTCGATGGTCTCTCCATAGGAAATTAAACCTCTATAGTCTCTTCTTTAAAAGTTTATTGTCTCTTTCCCTCCATGAGTGGACATCATCGAGTGGAATCGAAAGCATTAACAGAATACTACCGAGTGCAACGGAAGGCACCCAGTGAAATAGGTCCGAAATCATTTTACATTACATTAGTTCATGGAAACAAAGTTTCAAGACCAGACGGATCCTCCGATAAGTCGCAAAACGGCAACCGCTACACTTTGCTCCAGCTAAGCTTCGTATGCAACGCACTCAATGCATTGAGCGATACTAGCTGGATCGAACCAATATGTGGAATTTGTAGATCTCTACCTTAAAACTGTGATATGAAAGTTTTGCAAGTTTCTTAATCAATACCGATAAGCGAGTTGCGTGAAATAAGAAAAATATGGTACCATTGGTATCAGCCGTCCTCTGCTTGATTGTTGAGTGCTCCGCCAATGAAGCTTCCAGTTATCTCTATCACTTGCATAAATGGGCTCAGTTTACCATCTGAATTCGCTGAGTATCATACTGTACCGGCATGTCGCGGAAGGATCAGATCAGGTCATATCAGAAACCAATAGACTGTACCTGCTGTGGGATCTAATCGTTAACGGCTCCTTCTACAACTTCTTATTGAAGAAGATCGCATGTCAACCCTATGACTTTCGATATTTCGATATGCATAGCAGCTTCTGCGATCTTTAGGCCTCGACAGGTCGGAACTGCGAATTCCCGCTCCCAATTGCATGTTATGGGGCAAATCTACCATCGGCTATATCCACTATCTACTCTAAAACGTGTATCCGATAGTGCTGAATGATCTTTCATCTCATTTGTAGTGTCTAGGTTCTTCACGAGCAGGTTAAGCAAGGAAAAATTGCAGAGTGGAAAAGGTGGGCATGGAGCCAGATGGTTGTTATAAAGAAGTCGTTCATCACGTCGATTTTTTTGATTATATATATATATACATATATATATATATATATAATTCAAAGATCTCTGTCTCTGAGCGTGAATCAAGCATCAGAAAAAAAATCCCGTTTCCCATGAATATCGCGTTCTTCTAAATTATGCGAAGGCCAATCTTTCCGCAGATGCAGGGCAAATCGCCCAGCAATGACTCTTCCCATTCAGGGCTAACGCTAAAACTATATCTGCAAAGAGAGGGTAGTGTGATTGCCGACCATAGCGTTTCTTTGCCATGTTATTCCATTCCATTTTTCGCATAGCTCTCGAAGGTGAATGTAAATGATTTTCATGAGATGGCATCAAATTGTTGACCCTCCCTCTTTAAGACAATGTTAGTATCTGTCAAGAAGTTCCATTATTTCTTCTGTTTGAACTAAGTAGAACGCCTTTTTTTCCGTGAACGGAAGTAAGGCAGACCAATCTTTTGTACTCTCGAGGATCTCTTTATCTTATGAGTGTGGTATATTGTATTTAATCCTTTTCGAAACGCTTCTTCCTTCCATGAGTGTCGTCCGCCGAATGTTCTCAAAGTTTATGAATGGCAAACACCAGGCAGAGGGGACAACAGTTGCCGATGATGTGTTGGTCTCCCTTTCTGTGCAATAACAAGATCTTCCTAGTGTTCCATTGATTGGGAACCTCGCATTCTAACAGGTAACCTGTGAAAAGCTGAGCTTTTGCTTTGGTGTGGATTAATTGTATGTCCTTAAATGCCTGGACATCGCGAAGTGGAGGAACTCTTAGGTGATATGTCATCGATTCGATATATAGGCAGGGGATATAGCCGTTAAAGTCATCAGAAAATAAATACTCGCAAGCTTTTTGCAAGAAGTCGCTGCTTCCTCTATTCCCCAGAAGTTTGCCATCTTAGTGTTGTAATTATGAAAGCTTCAGTGTGCGCTGAACAAAGTTTCTTCGACCATATACAGCCGCCAACAGTTCGCCCTTCTTTTCTTAAGATCTTATTTTATCGCCTTTTCCGCAGAGCTCTGCAAATTCAAATGTAGTTTGGGAATTGCTTACTCCCCGTTTTTGGTGTATTGGCTTAAGTGTTCCAGGCGTCTCGTTGTGAATTTCGGAGTAAAGGGTAAAGAGCCTACTCTACTCTGTTTCAATCTACTCTGTTTGGTTAATGTCAACCAACGACAGCTTGCTGGGCTTCGCCGTGGAGACGGAGTGTTTGCGAATGGCTTGTCGGTCTCTACAAAAGTACGCAGCGTATTTGTTGTAGGCCACCTGTAGCTACTTCCCATTTACATCCCAGTGACATGCTTTCAGGATTTTGACAGAACTGGTTTGTAGTGGATTTGTCTACGTATAAGGCAAATCTGCGTTGCAAAAACAGAGTCTTCATACTCTGAATCCACCTAGAAAGACACATAAGCTTAGCCTTCTTCCATTTCGAACCCACTTACTGCGATCAAGCAAAACACCACATAGCCTGGCAACTAAGACCTTATATAGAACCGAAATTATGGTAGGCCTTGAAGGTATGACGATAGAGAATCTTCATAGTTGGAATTATTGTAAATCCTTCACCTTGGTTTGACCTTGAGAAAAAAAGCAGCCGAAGAAATTAGCATCTGGAGCATCTTAGCAGTAATTGGCTTTACAACACAGCTACACCGAGGGCACTAGATATTGGTTGAAAATACGGCTTGTCGGAATGGAACTCTTTGATTCGGTTTTGAGTTAAAGTAGTAGAAATGATTTATATAATGGTATGACTGTGTTTTGCCCTTTTAAATATTCGCATTAACAAGATGATTACATCGTTAGTATATTTATTTATATGACCTTATAAACCGATCTTCTTTAGCTGATGCGAGGTTGGTATAGGTCTTCGTTGTCGTTGCCATTGTCGGGTCCGGACCCGTAACATCACGGCTCTGAAGAAGGCGAAATCGCCGAAAAGTCAGGCATCGACCGACAAGAACAACAGCAACGACAACAACGACGAAGAGCTATAACAACCTCGCATCAGCTGAAAAAGATCAGTTTATGAAATTACATAGCTGATTTCGTCGTTTTCATTAGATTAGAATGATCGCTATCCACCTATTCCAATTGGCAACGATTTAGCAAATCCACTCTGTTCCTTTCTACTAAGTTCGATTTTTGAAGAAAACCCTAACCATTGGTGCTTTCAATAGAAATCAAGCAAAACTTCTATTTGCCTGGAGCAGCGGCCTTTCTACAATATTTCGTTGTCCAGCGTTTTCTACATGTATTGAATTTTATCTCAACCTTCATTCCATCGTCCTCAACGAAATCTCGCTTTTTTTGTTTCGAAAAAGATTCTGGCACGACGAATGGAAGATTTAAAGTGAAGTACGATCTCTAAATTAGTAGCTCGTTTTCGATGGAAAGTCGCTGAGATTCAGTTCGAACATTGCGGAAGATCAACTGATTGCACACGAATAAATTTCTCCTCTTTCTGAGGTAGAAAAATTGGTACGAACTTATTATCAGTACAAAACTGTGCACAGCGAAGAGATGCCGGTCCTGTCCGGTGGAGAATGGGTACGCTTACTCAAGTAGCTGGAACTACTCCTTAGTCTCCTTGAAAGAAGACTCGCCCACTGTGAAGCTGGCCTCAGCTATGAAAAATTTCCTCTATTCCTTTCATTCTGCATTAAAGTTGCACAAAGTGCAACGTCACCTGCTCTTTAAAGTGTGCCTTGTTGTGTAATAAGTTTGTGCAAAAAATTCAAGCCAATAAAAGACATCTGGAAACTTTCAGGCTTTCAACATAAGGAAACTAAGAAAAATGCTTCTGATACGGTGTTTCAGAACTAAAAAAGAGGTTTCTCATTTTAAGATCATTTGGTCGCCCGTAGATATTCCAGTACCACTAACAGGCACATCACACATCTCGTTTTCGTCATACTACCACTCTAAGATTTTAGATGCAGTCCATATTTCTGTGTTATTTTCTCTTTTTCTTGGTCCTCAAAATCTTCTCCTCCATGTATCTCTCAGCGATATTTCTCAAGCGCGTGATTTAATGTAATGTATTGAAGAATAAATTGTAAGAATAAAAGAGAATTGTGCGTTCATCACTACAGCTGTTCTTGATAAATCACAAGGACAGTTGTCACTTCTGTGTTTTTCCCCATTGCACTCTGGGAAAACTTCTTTCTCCACTTCCGTCCTAAGACGATAGCTTCGCAGTAGTATTACTAGTTAGAACGTTGTCTACATGAAAGGCATGAAGAACTGAAGATGGCAACAAGCACTTCGAAGAGGTTTGACAGAGGTCTCACTCACACGGAGGGTCGGCGATCACTAACGAGCATATGCCGATCCTTCATCCGTCTGCTCTTTGCTACTTCTCTGTCGTGGGCGCGTTCTACAGCCCCTGTCAGTCCAACTCAGTTGCTCAACCCACACTCCATCTGTTGTTCTACGGTAGTCAAACTACATTCGTTTCCACCACATCGTTCTTCCTTTCATACCTATTCATCTTTTTTGAACCCATTTTATCGACTTCGTGTTTGCTTGACAATCTTTTCGTGTTTATGAGATCATTTTTAATGTAACATCTTTTACATTCGTCCCAGAACTTAAGAATACGCTGCGGAGAAAAAAGTAACATCAGCTAGCTACTCACACAGAATGGGAGACCTCACAGCAGCTTTTGCTAACGCCGAGCTCACCCCGAGTGTGATACAGAATGCTCCGCAGAAAAAGCTACACGTGAGTTCTTCTTTTGCTTCCCTTTTATTCATTCAGTTTGCATGCATTGGCGAGAATAACTGGTATGGAAATAAGTAACAGGGTTAAAGGTTCTACTCTACATTAAATTAAAGAAACCCATCGAATATAAAACGCTTTTTTTCTTTTTTACATGTAATATTACATTTAGAAATGCCTACCATATATTTTTTACGTCAAACCGTTTATTTTCAGCTAGTTTGGGATGGGATACAAGTAGAACCGGGAATGACGATGTCGACGAGAAATCTCAAGAATGCTCCTCGGTTTCATCTTCCTGGAGCTGATCCGGAGAGCACATTCTCACTCGTCATGATTGGTCAGTCCACTTCATTGTTTGCAAAATCTCGCTCGCTTCGGCGATATTGTAAACGCATTGTAAAGCTCAACTACATGTGTCGTCTTAGCTGGAGCAAACAAGTTCTGTTCACACAGCGACAGCTTTTGTAACTTTATTACCTACGAAGAAAGCAAAATTGCTTTTAATATTGCTCATAATAGCTTTTCCACTAATTAATTTCTATGACTGGACTTCATATATTGTGCGCAAACCAGCACATTTTTCACTAAGTTCCTTGTCTTGTATCCGTCATCAACGAATGCCTTCGGATTTTCGTGTACCGGTTCAGTTTTCACATGTGGACTTTGTATTTTCTCGCTAATTTCGTTGAATATTGGTCAAGTTGAACCTCTCCGGAATCTTGTAATAGCTGCACTAAGGGGTTTCCAGGCTTTCACCGCAAGCAGTCCTTGAAGAGATGAAGAGCGGTTGGATCAGGATGCTGTCAAAAAACTGATCATGTATGTATTACTGCAGAACACCTTTAACTACTGCGCTTCTTCCCCCATTAAAAGTATTAGAACAGTAAAATCGCCAACCTTCGCTAAAAATACTACCGAGTGATAATGCTTTTTGTCTACTGCCTGTTATTATTTTTCACGGCGGAGTATGATATGTAATACAGCCACCATGATGCTGAGATATTTGATGGACCCAAAGCAAGATTCGAACCCTCAATTACTCTTTCCGTAGGCAGTATCTCAATATATTTCCATAATAAATTTCAAAATGTTCAGTATACCTCAGTGTTGGATGTACTGCGATAATTTCAGATCCAGACAATCTTTCAAGGAAAAATCCGTCGGTCGCCGAATGGCTTCATTGGCTTGTGTGTAACATACCAGCCAGTAATGTCATCGAAGGGATTAACGGCGGTAAATGACCAGTTTCCATCTGGGTACTCAGCAGTCAAACCTTGTACTGACAACGAATAGGAGCTGTCCATATTTCCGTCCCAAAAGTAGGACTGTGAGGTCAACAGTAGCTTCTTTTTCCCTCGTTGAGCACTAACAACAAATTTCTTCAACCATTCAGCTTTCTTTACCATATCAAATCCATTTTTTGTTTATTTTCCGTAATTTCTTCACTGCTTCTAGTTTTCTTTAACTCTCTAACAGGTTAGCATTTAATTAATAAAATTCAATGGAAAGCGAATTTTCACTCACTATTGAGGTGGATGACAAGTTGTGTGAAGAATCCGACGTTGTTCATTAATGTTCTCGAATTATAAGAATGTATGTCCCGAGGTCAGCCAAGCCAAAGTCTGCCCCGGGTCTTCACCACGACAGGCAGTCGCCGCCCTTGTGGATCAGAGGGAGGTTGGCCGCCATGCGACTTCTTCGGCTACTTTGATATCACTACGGTGGTGGATCCTGGTATCGGTTTACTCTTGGCTGGGCTTCCTTACAGAAACTCTGGGCTCTTTCTTAGCTTGCAAAACCCTGCTGGAGGGATGAGTCCCCCGCTGTACATCGCAGTCCGACACCCAGGAACATTTCCCAGCCACGATGAGGCGGTAAACCATTGGAACGAATAAACAAAATAAGTAGAAGGAAGTTGTCTAAAATCTTCTCCGCATCTTCGTAAGTTTGAAGATCAATCAGTTATTACGTGGAATATGTACAGCTCCGAATTATTTCAAAGGTGTTATTAAAAAAAAACAGAATTTAGTTGCAAACAAAATTGTGAATTCCTCCCAACCACACTAGTTTTGGCCGCTATTTCATGGTGAACCGACAATAATGATCATATTCATATTGAGGGTCATCTAACGCTTCTCATTTGAGGTCAACATCAGATGCCCTACGGATCACCAGCTCCACAGCCGAGAACAGACGTCCATAGATATGTCATACTAATGTGGGAACATCAAGGAAGGTAACGAATAGCAATAAAACTCATAGGATCCATTTTTCATGCAGTATCTCGTGAATAATCCGTAGAGATAGTTTGCCTCGCTCTTTTTAATTCATCTTCGAAATTTTAAAGTTTATTTTTTCTTTCTTTTCCTTTTTTTCAGTTTCTTCCTTTCAAAGGGCGGATAGCACAATGGTAGTGATATCCGTCATCACGAGCATGCTGCTAGTTCAATTCCACTCCGGGATAAGCAAGCTTCGTATCCCTCTAGGGTCGGGAAATTAGTACTGAACTTGTCCATGAAAAAAAACTCGTTAGAATACAACTGGGAACGCTCCGGCTCGGATATCACAGAACTCCAGGAAAAATCGACTAGACCAGCATTCTACGACATTCAAGATGAAATGGAAAATCCTCAAGCAGTAGTCGAAGTCACATGTAAAAGTTGGAAGATCTTCGTATACAATGAATGCGAAGAAACGAACCGAATGTGAGAAGTGCTGGGATCGGCATAGTAGGCGTGAAGACGGGTCATACAAATTTCTTTTTTTTTGGCTTTTGGCATTGCTGGGAAGACCCAAACAAACTGAGCAATGATAGCGAAGAATTCACTGTTACTAGTCTACCATGTTCTTCACCTGTAAGAAAACTATCTCTATTGCAGACGTATAAACGTCCCAAAACCATCAACCAGAGCCAAGTTTAATGTGAAGCAGTTCATTGAAAAGAATAAACTAGGTGAGTTCTCTACATCATCTCTTAGGAAACAAGGAGCGAAAAGATGAAAAATGGTTCAATGGTGAAATCTGGAACGTAAATTACCTATTATAAACACTATTAAAAAAATTCATCTCGAACCTATCTATTGACTGACTGACTCGTGATAGGAACAAAAGTACACCCTATACAGCTTCGTCAGTGATACAACGTGATAAGGATATCATTTCAGGGACTTCAGCAAAAAGCTGTCATAAAAAAAGCTTTGAAGTCGGCTGTAAAGTTGCCGAAGATAGAAATACTCAAGAAATGGGTAACGGATAGTCAAACTACTTGTAAAGCGAAATCCGACGATGCTTTCCCAATGGATCAATTCCTCCTGGGTCATCTGATACAGTAACATGTTAGAAGTTGATTGTAATGCTAGAGTTAAGCAGTCCATAACCTCAACTCATTCTTATCGTTCTTCATAAAGTTCCAAAAAGCTAAACAAAGATATAGTACGTTTTCCACCATTCCTACTGTTATCTTTGAAACTTATTTCCATATTTCCAGGTGATCCAATAGCAGGCAACTTTTTCCTGTGCCAACACGAGTGAACTCAATCTCTCGGATCAGGGAAAATTGCCAATTTTTTGATATAGCGTTTCCATTTTTATTGTACTAGGTTGCACCCAATAATCAAATAATGTAAGCATAGTATTTAATGAAAACTTATTTCCACATAGAATCCTTCCACCATGTACATTTACGTACTCATTCTTCATTGGAAAAGAACCAAATTATTCTACACGTGGTTCGATATCCCCTCCAACGCCCCGTCAGCACTTTCTTACTCTATAGGTCTAGATCTTTAATCTTCCCCAAGTTTAAAGAAAGAATAATCAACGCCAAATATGCGTACTGGGGAATTCCCACGTCATCGCCTTGGGGTTTTGAGGAATCGCCGACCTTTGCAGATCTGAAAATGATTTACGTAGTTACTACTATGTTTATTTCAATGTGGAGACGATTTCTGGCATTGTGTGTGTTCCCCAAGAGACGAACACCTGCAATAAATCAGAGACCTCACATATGACGACAGTATAAAATTTGCGCTTCTAGCACTTTTCCTTGATATTCTTTTCCTTTTCATTACTACTTCTGTACCATAAAAAATTATCGACAAGCTACACACTCATGCGAGTAACAGTGAACGTGAACATTCTACACAGTATCATATGGCCAATCCTATTCGAATAGGAAATGGAGAAATCGTATTACTACCAAGTAGAGGCAGTTTATCAGAAGACGTAGCGACCGGAAGAGTCAGGCAGGGACCTCATGTGAAATATTATCCAATGACTTTTGTTAAATTGACAGAATTATGATTTCGATAGAATTGACTACATCTATCGTTGTTTGCAATGAACAAGGCAAATGCCCAATTCTAAGCAACTCAAATTCTAACGTTGGAAAACTATTATGGTATTCGAACAATTGTTTAGGAACGCATATTTTAATAACGACATCTCACATCACACAATTTCGACAAAGAAATCCATAAATGATAACAAATTACGTCGTATATCACCCGTCCCATTTACGAAAATACCCAGTTTATATAGCATCGGGAGAAATAGATATGTCACATAAAGCAATCATAACATGCAAAACACTAAACAACCACTACTTTTCCGATTGGTAACTGAAGTAGTAAAAAAACCACTAGTCAAAATCCCTATTTCGACTATTTTAAACTATTCCGAAAATAACAGAGGATTTCACCTGAGCGTACGCGCCTCCACAAGTCCAAGCTACATCCAACTCTCGACACAACTTTGATTACCTCAATAGTGTTGCTTCTTCCAAAACATTGGATCTGAAGTATCCACATTTGAAATTATTCGTATAATAACGTTGACAGTTCCTAAGATCGACTTTCTATAAACCTTGCCATTGGATTCTAAATCTGTTGTTCTCTTTTTTACAGCAATCGTGAGGTTGTTATTCAACAAACGTTTACTTACTCACAAATATAACACATACAACACAACAGTAGCTGACGTTTCGGCAGTATCACCTTCTTAAGAGCCTGGAAAGGTACACCAATATGTAATTTACAAGGTCAAACGCTTCAACAACGCAAACAGAAAGATGAAAATTTGAACAATAATTATACGATCACCGGCTTCTCGAAAAACCCACCGTTTATTAAGTGCCTTCCACTGAGGAAGAACAGTTGATCAGAGTCGCATACGATCCATAAACGCACCATCGAGCATCAAAATTCGATGCGAAGGCACGGGACCAGATCACGTGTGATCTCGGGGCATTCTTCCATGCTGTTCATTCTAGTGTTCCTGACAATTATCCAAAAAGCCTTGAGAAGTTTACGCGTTGGTGTTTTGCCAACCTGTGCAAGGATATTGACTTTAATATCAAAATTGTCCCCGCTACGTTTTTGTATCCTATGCGACCCAAGTGGCGCACCTTGTTTTGACTTTCGTTTGCCATTTACCGCAAGTACTACAAGAAACAAGATATATCGTGCCCATGCAGTCACCGTCTTTGACATAAGGGCAAATTACGCAATTTGGTATTTCACATGGACGGTCATACAGGCGGTTACGAACTAATTGACGACGTAGAGTAGCCGGTGGTATTTCAACTACCGCTACCGATTCTTCTAGATCTGCCCTTCTTAAGCATCGCTTTATCGCTACACTTATTTCATCGCTAATGAAGGGCAAGATAAACGGGATTTTGTTCCGGCCAAACCCTTCGTTTTGGGATATCACTCTCCTTCTAAACTTATCTCATGGGATTACTGTTTCGTAGCCATTGGAGACGACTACTTCCCGAGCTAAGCTGCTGCTCGAAACGACCACCTCTGTGTGGACAAGTAGGAGACTAAAGGAAGAATCGCGCAACTTGGTTCGGGAAATAATCATCTTCAATGGCTACGAAACAGTAACCTCATGAGAAAAGTTTGGAAGTAGAGTGATAACCCAAAAGAAAGGGTTTGGCCGCAACAAAATCCCGTTTATCTTGCCCTTCATTAGCGATGAAATAAGTGTAGCGATAAAGCGATACTTAAGGGCAGATCTAGAAGAATCGGTAGCGGTAGTTGAAATACCACCGGCTACTCTACGTCGTCAATTAGTTCGTAACCGCCTGTATGACCGTCTATGTGAAATACCAAATTGCGTAATTTGCTCTTACGGCAGAGACGGTGACTGCATGAGATCAGGTATGATACACCTGATTTCTTGTAGTACTTACGGAGACGAATATATCGACGAAACAGGCAAACTTTTATGTATCCGCGTACCTAGATGGTAAACGAAAACTAAGACAAAGTACACCATTAGGCACGCATAGGATACAAAAACAGCGGAGAGGATTTTCATGTAAAAGTCGATACCATCGCACGGAAGACTAAAAGACCAACGCGCAAATTTCAGGAGGCTTTTTGAATAAACTCCAAAAACCCGAGAATAAATAGCATGGAAGAATACCCGGAGATACCACGTGATCTAGCCCCGTATCTCAGAAGTGATTTTTGATGTGGCGTGGTGAGTAGTTAACCAGATGCGACTCTAAGCGGCTGTTCTTCTTCAGTGGAAGGCACTTAGTAAACGGTGGGTTTTTCGAGAAGCCGGTGACCGTGTAGTTATTGTTCAGATTTTCATCTTTCTGTTTGCATTGTTGAAGCGTTTGACTTAGTAAATTACATATTAGTGCACCTTTCCAGGCTCTGAAGAAAGTGATACTGCCGAAACGTCAGCTACCGTTGTGTTGTGTTATATCCATGAGGAAGTAAACGTGTGCTAAACAACAACCTCGAGATGGCTGTAAAAAAGAGAACAACGTTGACAGTATTTCCTTCGATCATCAAACTAACACGAACTTGGTAAAAAGTTATATTCACCTAATGTTTTGGCGCCTTTGTCTTCTTCAGACCCGGATTGATTTGTTTCGATTCTCCACACCCATTCGACCCTCAAGAATGGGAATAGTGCCAAGCTATATGCCAGTTAACACCGGATTCTGCAGGATGCATTACCACAGTGAAAGCAGATTAGCTGACCGTATTGGATGACAACAGGACAACAAACATCCCACATAAAAAGCGCACGGGCAAGCAAGGATTCTTCAATCGAGCACTGCTCTATTTCAACAGATTCGACTCAATGCGACAACGTTGACCTCAATCGCGAGGAATAATGGCTGTAGACAATCGACTAGAACCAATGCGGCTACGAAGAAGGTGAAGACGCTGAAACGTTAGTCGGATATAGTTTTATGACAATGTCGTGTTAGCTTAATAATCGAAAAAACATTGTTTACTTTAAATGAATGTTGGTTTTATGTTTTGACAATCTTAACCCTAATCACTGCCTTTTTTTTCTTTTTAATGGCAGGGTATGTTGCGAAATATAACTCGTATATAATGCTGAGATATTTGCAAAACTCCGGACCGCAGGTGTATGCGGTGGGGAACGAACGCGCTATTGTCCTTACCGGGGAGTAGCGCACTTCATCACTACACCATCCGGGTCCTTCGTCTTGCCTGTCTCTCAGCTAGTTCTATTGATCTTTTGCCATCAGCAATCACCCGTCAACGGGATTGATCTGGGGAGCTCAAATCGGCATTGAACCCAGTTAAGCTGAGGCTTAGTTACAATCACAACCTTAACCCTTTTATTTACTGCCTTTTTTAATATTAAGTTTTGACAGTTCTTCAGAAAACGCAACCTACGATTTTCATTTTTTCCCAGATATTACAACTTTACTTATTAAGTAGACCGCATTCAGCGCAAAAGTAAGAGGTAAGAGTAAGGTACCCTACAATACACACTCCATCGTTGGTTCGATTTCACACCCCTGACAAACACCGTTCTCCACAACTCCCAGATCGAAAATTGGTACGGGCTAATCTGGAAAAATGTTTGTCTACCCATAGCTCTCTACAAGTCATAACATAGACCAGACGTACATTCATTAATCTCTACGATACCTAATGAGATCGAAAGAATAGCAAGCCTCAAATGGATTGATCAATGCTGTACGCTTTATCCTTTTCCTTACCTGCTACTAAGTAACGTGCTATGGTTGTATTCGTTCGGACTCTTCACCATTGAGTTCATGGTCGGTACAACTACCTCCGACACATATCTCCGATGAACCGATGTAGAACTGAAAGTTGACTTAAAAATAAGATACTGGGCTAAAAAAAAACTTTAAGGTACTTATAAATGTGTATAGACTTTGAACACTTCCATTAAAAAAGTAGTGTCGAAATAGTAATGGATGTGTCTATCATCTCTGTGACATTACATGTAGAAACTTTTACAGTGGTTCCAAAAAATTCAGAAATATATCATCCAACCACTTCTATCGCAACTTTTCGTTAGGGTGTAGGAAAGTGTGAAATCCTTTCAGATTAAATATGCTGCCGTACCAGAAAAAGTATTGAAAAAATAATCAACTTTCCATTTTAAGAACAATAAACGTCCAGACCTTGAGGGTATTCTCCGTATGTCGTGCAACGTATCGCACAAACGGGCGTAGATCTCCAAGGTTAGCAGTGTGGAGAGTTGCATAGTACTCTGCTCGCGATTCTACCGGTAAGATCACGGGCGGAAAACCTGCTTGCATCAAAATCAAGTTCAGCAAAAGACGCGCTGTTCTGCCATTTCCATCAACAAATGGATGCACAACAACCTGAACATATAATGAAAAAATGGAATCTTCCGGAGAACAAGGGCCATGAAGAGGTGTACGTAGATGAGTGGACTTTGGAAGAGATCAAAAAGACATGAACCATAGATAAAAATCAAAGATGTACAAGTTTATAATGTGCAATGGCTGCTTTCTCTACAGGACTCATTTCCGTAGTTGATGGATCATTCAGCCAATCGACAAGCTCTTCCAGCTGCTCCCTTACGTACTCAGGGGCTACAGGTGTGAACCGCCCAACAAACACCTGTTAAATAGAATGAACCAATAAGCAAAAATAACGTATGAAAAGATGACCATGGAGATGACCATAGTACCTGTGTAGTTCGGATCCGTCCCGCATCGATTGGATTGGCATTTCCAAGAACTCTTCTGTGCATTTCTAGAAGATCCTAAAATAGAAATGAAATGAAACAAAGAACTAGATTCCTATCTCACTTCCACAAAAACTCGAATTAACTTAATTTTAACCACAAACACTACACAGAGATACTGCTCCGTACTATTCGGCATGTGAAAACTCAGGACATTGTCTTACTGACAAAGTACCTCTGTATGACAATCAAGTGATCAATAAAGAGGTTTAAGGAAACGTACATCTACAGTGATTTCATTCATCAGAAGGAGAGAATGATTCAAGAATCGGAGAGCCGCGTCCATACCAATTACTTCGTTATGCTCAAGAATGCTTTTTCCAGCAACAGCAGCACCAGATTCCAGTATAGACCTAAATCAATTTCAGTTCATAATTCCCAGACACAAAGACTTTCGATCAATTTTTAACTTAAATCAAGACATCTAAAAACAACAATGATCAGCATGTAATTACTAAGAATAGCCGCCATTCAGCACAGACATGCGACTTGAGAACTAATCACCTGTGTCGCCTGTACCACCTTTCGCTCTGGTGATCGTCGAATGACGCGAATGGGAGCCAGTAAACTTTCCATTTCTACCTCTCGCAAGCAAAAGTAGCACAGGGAATTCTGCTGTCGCTAGAAACTCGTTACTCGTTAAACATCCCTTACAGTGCTTTCGCAAAGAACTCTGACCATCGGATCGGTAGTCTCGCCGAAGTAAGTTTAACATCCCGGGGAATCCAGTAATTAACGGCTTTTGTTCATTGGTTGTCATTCATATACATTATGTGTCTGACCTACCTTATCTTCGACTGTTTAGCATACATAGAGCGGTGTCCCTGATTTTTGATCGTCGTAAATCGGAACTTTGGATCACTTCGCTCATTTGCGCGAATGGGGAGACTCCTAGCATCGTTCATTCGACCGCGCGTTCTATTCCGCTGAGTAGTGTTTCATCCTGCTTACGCAGCCACATGTTTTCTCACGCATAAGTTAAGCTAGGAAAAATCGTGAAGTCGAAAAGGTAGGCAAGGAGTCGGGTGTTCTTTGTACTTTTCACTATGTCCTCGCTGCTTTCCAATGCTACCCAAGCCGCTCGCTTCCTCCAGCTGAACTCTGGAGCTAAGTTGTTCATAATACTGATCTCCCGACCTACGTAGACGTAATTGGAGAATTCGGAGATATTCATTTCGTTGAGTGTGAATAGGGCATACGTAACTAGACCGTTCCTCATGAACTTCGTTTTTATGGGATTTAGTCGGAGATTAATTTTCCACAAGCTTTATCAAAATCGGCAAACATTGTTCCACTTGGTTAATGCTTGGTGTCATGCTTGGTGTAGAATGATGCCACCAGGAAAGAGATGGTGTAACTGCCGACCATCGATTTTCGCTACCGCGTTTTTCATTCCAATGTCAGAATGAAGTTCTGCAAGGTGATAATAATTTTTGCGAGATGATATTCCCTTGCGTATCACCTCCTCTTTTCATATCGATGCTACTAATACCGTTGTAGAATGGTTGTATTTTGGTTACCAAATGTTTATATAGCTAAAGAACAATTTTCATATACTGGATTGGGACGCCCTAGCGGTCCACAACTCCCATGACTGCTTCTATCTTAACTGAGGCAAAAACTTTACTTAAATCGATGGAAGTCAGACATCGTGGTCACTTATACTCTCGTGATACTTCAACGTTTTAACCGTGTAGATGTGGTCCATTTTACTGCAATATTTTCGAAACCCTGCTAGCTTACATAACTCTCCTTCGTCCCATTTTACATCAAAGCTGTTCAGGATGACTGTAGTGAAGAACTGTAGACGACAGACAGCAAACAAATTCGGCGATAGTTGTCGACATCGCGGATGCCACCTTTTTTAAACAATAACACGCTCTTGCTGGCCTTCCACTGGGAAGGAACTTTGCAATCTGACAGGTACCGTGTAAACAGATGTCGTGTTTTGGAGGCGAAAACTGATGGGACGACATTTAAATCGTCATTTACTTGACATGTGGGATGGAGGACGTGGTTTCCGAAGAGATTCAAGTAGTAGTCGTGAATGATTTTCTCCATTGCCTTTCTGGAAGGTGCAACTACTGCCTCTTTTGGGCGTCGAAGCGCAATCATCTTGGTCTTGTAATTCATGAAGTTTCGATGGGCTTTACAAATACTCTTTCTTACCACTGCAGCTTCGGCCATAACTCTTCGTCCTTCCTTAAGATCTTAGTTTATCGTCTCTCTGAATTGTTTTGCAAGTTCGAACGTGACCTGGCGGTTGCCTGTGGCTCGTGTGATTCCACGCTGACGTAAGATTGCTTCTGAAGGAAGACGACGCTTGGTTAATTTCGAACTCTCAACTTTCATAGTGGCAACGTGAAGATGTTGAATAAACCGTTCGTATTCGTCTTCGATGTTATCAAGTCTGGAAATTCGGTTTTTGAACTTAACGGCTTTCTCTTTTCTGTTGTCTGATTGCGCCCTGCGTCTGACACTCTTCAAAGAGACCCCCATCTACCGTGAAGAATAGTGGTTCGTTTCCCAAATCACGAGTTAACATAAGTAACCTCGATCATTATGATAAACTCAGATAGCCGTTCATCATGTTTGTTCCATTCTAATTCGTAAACCTCAATGTGGCATTCTTCAGACCTTCTTCTAGGTCTAATATTAACGTTAAAATCTCAAACGATGACCTTAAAGAAATTGTGTTCTTCTCTGTAGAAGTTCTTCAAGTCCACATAGAAGGATTCCATTTTGTCCTTGTCACAACTTGATGTCGGTGCGTAGACTGTCAAAACCGGTATTGACCCATATCTCATCATCCGCAAACGTCCGACTCGGGTTGTTAGTTGTTCGAATGAGTTGATCTCCATGGCCCAGTTATTTTATTTTCACACTTTAGACCCACGTACATCTTGCTCAGTACGGAACATGGGGGCTAGATTAGTTACAGATGGCTTACCAATCTCTCCCAGAGTTCCAATTCACTTCCTTGCAGACTTTTGAGGAAACAACTGATATAATACAAACTGCATAAACGAGAACATACCGACGCACGTATGCATGAATACGCCTTCGTGAACAGTGAGACTATATATCATGTCGGTACAGCAGAAACAGAGAGTCCATGCCTTAGATCCATTCTAGTCTCAGGGAAGCATAAGGCCGATTTTAATTCGCAGTTAACCACTTACCCGTCACATGGGGATCGCCTCGCAGCTAATCGGCAGGAGATCCTTCAGTGCGGGAGATCCGTACGCAGAACCAATAGTTTCACTATTCAAAACTAGTGAAAATGGAAACGAGACCGTATAGTTATGACGTTAAAAGAGTGAAGAAATGAAGTAAAGTTCATACCGGGTTTGCCCTAATGTCAGAGTATTCCCTTCAATTGCTACAGTGTGATAAATGTGCAGAAAATAGCTTTCTCGCATTGCTCTCTTCATCGTTGATGTTAACGGTAAACGTGCAAATTCATCACGATACTTGTCAATACGCTGTAGCAACTTAGCATCCATAGCACTGACAAGAGGCAACGTCCGTTTCCTGCTCCTGAAAATATCGGTACCTTCTGCAATTTATGGTGTTTACCGAAACCAGAAGAAAAAAGATGGGTGGTTTTCTCCTGCCCGATGAGGTTTTCATAGAAAATGCGGTCATAAATGCTTAAACATCTCTAGTCACCTTTAATGGTGATTGCCTCATTTCCTGTTTCAAGTAGCACTCAAAGATATGCCTATTACTGTCTTATTTCCTTCTGTTTTATAATGAACTCGATAGACAAATGAAATAAGAACGGACGAAACCTTACACAAGAGCCTCCGTGTGGTGTGGATCAAATGTCAAAGCTCTCGCGTAGCAAAGATCTGCTTCCAGAACATCGTTTTCCAAAACATGAAATCAATAACTTCACATTAACATAAACCAGTAAAGAAACATGTAAGTACTTCATGGAAGAGTCCATATTCCGTTAGAATGTCGGGATGATGCGGAGCCAATGCGACGGCATGTTCAATAATCGATTTTGCCTGGAAAGGTGATCGTACGGATGAGCATTAGTTTTCGCTATACAGCTCCTCTTTACAACTAGTTCGACACCTTTTTAGCGTTCCCTGAACGTCTGCTTATTTTAGCGGCCGAAAGCGCGGCTAATGCTTCCTGTTCACGAGCTCGATCCGGAACTTCCTCATCGGAAAACGCACGAGGTATGACGACGGACGATTTTGTTCCCTAACAGTGAAATCTCGATAGTTACTACAAGCTAAATATGTGACAAAGATTGGCAAGTTAATACCTTCCATCCTTCCAAAGGGAAAATATCGGGAAAAAATGTTGGATCATTTGTTGTTCGCAGAGCTGTAAGTCTCTTTAATCCTCCTTTTCCACAATCCAAGTTAAACATATATCTGACAGAGTGCTGTACGAAGAAGAGTATCCATGCCTCACAGTCACTAAGTGACGGAAGCAAAAGCTATAAAAACTCAAGATAAGCAAAAAATTAAGGAACTCAAGGGCTACATCGATATGGTTCGAAGGATATTTCTATGGGAGCTCCTTATGTCAACAACACGAGCAGAATAAGAGCGATAGAGCTAAGAGCTAACCTGTACAAGCGATGATATAAGTAAGGACGCTACCACAACCACAACCAAGCTAGCATGGTTCGGCAATGTACTAGCCAGATCGGAGAACAGCAAAAAAATCCTCATCATTTGAGCTGAAAACACTAGACATAAAGTTGACTTTCGATTTGCTGCCTGCAACAACAGCTGCTTACTGATAAAACTGGCAGATAGAAAAGTAGTTGAGAGACAGGCGAAACGAAGGACCCGTATGGTGTGGTGATGAACGCGTTAACCCCTGGAAAGGATTTTAGCGCATTCGTTCCCCACCGCGGACACCTGCGGTCCGGAGTTTTGCAAATATCTCAACAACGTTGTGGTTGTATTCCATAGTAAATATAGCTTATCGAATATACATTAAAATAAAACGGTTCCTGCAGACCTTCGAACACCTCTTAACATCTGCAACTAAAAGCAATCGGTGGACTCACGTTTTCCGTAAGAAGTTGCCTTAAGAACCGTCAAGTCTCAGTAGCGGAAAAATTCATGAGTAACATCCAAACTTAGATAAGAATATCCTGAATGTGAATACTTCAAAATAAGTGCTTCCGATATCGATTTTCATATTTAACCAATTTCAGGACACACGAGCTCTAAGTGGGCCATGCCAGAAAAGTGCTATTCAAAATACACGGAGTCAGAAAACTATAAGATTCTTCGTGTGCGTGGATCTATTGCAAATACATTTTATTAACGGAGAATATCTTCTCGATGATCTGACTATAGGACGGAAAGTTCAAAATCGTCTTCAATAGTCTAAGAAATAAAACACTCCACCAAAGTTGCGTTATCATTTGCACACTAAACGTCCTAGACAGTCAAAAAAAAAAAAACTTTTGAAGGAATGAAGACTTTAGCTACACATTGGTCTCGTGTGGGTTTACGCTAGCCTTGCACTAACACCTCATCGCATAAGGGTTTTTCAAAAACCGACAACCTGACTAATTTATAAGGGACCTTAGCGAAGTTGAAACAATCAATTATAGGAATACGAAGACTATCAATAACTAAAAAGACAACCATCTCCAACTCGACTTCAACAAAACCCATCACCTGTTGGTGTTACTCCAGGGGATCATCAATAGACGTCATCAGTTAACCATCGTATGTGACATGGTCCCAAAACGAAAACTTATTTACGGTAGGTTAGTAATCACATGTTTGGTATAGGGCGAATCGGAGAGGAACTCGTCCAGCTTGCTCCAGGTTTCCGCAACGAGTTGTAGGTTTCGCAGTAGGGTTGGAGTTTCATTGTTTCGTTTGTATCCCATTACCGTATCATATTTCACCCTAATATGTTTCTACGACATCCCAAGTTTCCAGTTTTGTTGCAGTAGCCCTTAATTTCACCCCGACTATGTTCCTACATTGAGCTATTGTGAACACCCAGCTAGAAGTCCTCCTTCGAACAAATATCGTTGTCTTGGAATTGTTCCGTATCTCTAAAACAGTTGATGCAAAATTGTGAAAGTGTCAACTATGTTAAGTTGTAATCAAAATGAGGACGAACTTTTTTATCCGGGACCTTGTTGTTGTCTGCGGCGTTTTTGTACGAGTTTTAGCGCAATGTCTTGAAGTAGTCGCGATGAGCAGGAGCAACTTGTGATGATTGTGTCGTTGTGAGAGTATCCGTCCGGTCGGTGTCTGCTTTATTGCAGCAGTTATTGACTTGTGATTTTTCACAGAGAATCTTCAGGATGTCTCTCTCATCAGGCTCAATCCCGTCATTCAAAGAGCGTCGACCTTTCCGTAAGTTCAGATTTTGCTACTAGTCAGTCTCTTCAACTGTTTTTTGTTCCCATTTCTTGTAAACGAGTTTTTTAGTTCAACAGTTTGCTTTCGCTACGTGTAAACAAGTCTGAAATGTAGTATATTCACATTGGCTTAGGTCTTGCTCAAGTACAGTCGCAGTAGTGTAGACCTTATTGATTAATGTTGTGAGAAATTAAGATGCCCGAGAAAAGGATGTTGCGGAAATCAGACGTCAACAACCGAACAAAGTACCCGTTATCATTGAGAGGTTCGATGGAGAGCGCAGTCTTCCACTCATGGACCGTTGTAAATTTTTGGTACCGGAGCACATTACTGTTGCGGAGCTGATGCATATCGTCAGGCGCAGGTGGATACATCATGTCATTTTATTGAAGGATTAAACAAACAATCAAGGACTTTGATTCGCAGTTGTAAAGTAAAATCTTAGTGAAATCTGTACCATGACAGTATTACTTACCTGGATAATTGGATGGTCCGCATTCACTGATTGGGCCCCAGCATAATTTCCATTTTTTCGAAGCTTTGTTGGCTTAGCCGTTGTGGTTTCCTGGAGTCCCGAGGTTAACCAGGCCAAAGTTTGATCCAGGTCGTCACCACCACAGGCAGTCGCCGTCCTTGTTGATTAGAGGTAGATTTGCCACCATGCGACTAGTTCTATACCAAGACGGTGGTGGCTCCTGATATTGATTTAATCTTAAATGGGGTTCCTGATGGTGATGCCGAACTCATTCACAGTCGTTGTTGAGATTAATTTCACCGCTGTACATCGGAGCCTGACATCCATGAAAACCTATCCATGATGAGGCGGTAGACCTTTGGGAGGACACATATTACACAAAAAGAAAACATTCAATTCTTACTACTGTATGATAAAAAGGTATGTTCTACAATTATATGGATAGCCATTTGGGACTGGATTGTGAGGTTGTGCAATTTGTAGAGGTTGCTCGCAATTTTCTTCCCGACTAATGATTACGCAGCTCTTTATATCTACGCAGTTCTCGATGTTCAATATTTTGAAGAGTGAATGCGTATGTTATTAAATGCATGTAGCTTGCAGAACTATCGCACGTCAAATTTAAATTTTTTTTATAGGGATTAGCTTACTTCGTAGGTGCAGTATAACCTATGGCTTTACAGGCTTCAGCTACATCCAGAACAAGCTTTCTTCCTTCTAGTCAATGAAAAGTCGGTTGTTTCGAACTCGATGACAATGTCTCAACTCTACCAAACGGATAGAGACCAAGACGGATTCCTCTATATGGTTTATACTAGTCAACCTGCATTTGGATATTCATATAATTCACATTCTCACTCAGGTCATTGTTAGTGTCCATATCTGTTGAGCTGTCACAGTCGAGATCGAGTCGTATGCAATGATCTGAGTAATACTCGACAATCCAGTTAGCAAGCATGCGATGCCTTGTCAAGTTGTACATATTTTCTTATTTAACATACTAACAACACTGATTTGTACATACTGTGTGTTACGAACTCGAAAGTCCATTGTATACTTCTTGAAAATCCTCGCTTTTATTACTTTACATAGTGGCTGAGACTTTAGCTCCAAGCTGGAAGCCCTGTTATTTGGTTGTTCCTAACGTTAGCTCGCCGCTCGCATTTCCTTTCACCCATATTTTCGCTGGTCAAGATCAATAAAGTGTAAGATGTTATTCGTGGTCTGAAGATCTGTAGAAAACAGGACGCGTCATCCAGTTTCGAGTTAATGTCAAATCTTTAAAAGAACACTTAGATGTGTTGCAAAGAGATGAATGCGAGTGGTACTGTGAACTATAGAATCAACCTTGTACCCATTGTGTTCTCTTAAGGTTAGTAACAGATATTTCTAGTAAAAGCCGAGTATCCGCCATGATATTGATTGTTTACGTGTTGACTGTGCTTACTTCACAAATGAAGGAACACTAATCAGCTAACGAAATGAGAAGCAATAGCGAAGCAAACTTTATTGGAAATGAGACCATAGTGGACCACGAAATGATACAGTCATAGAAAGGATGCCGCCATTAGTAGAGAACATGAATCGCAAACCGGAAGTTCCTTCCACGTCAGAATCTGTAAAGAATGAATCATAAACAGCCAGCATTGGTTAATTGTCAACCAATGTTTCGTTTTGTGAGACGAGTTCTACTTTTTCTTACTCTATATAGAAACGAAGAAAGTAAACTATAAGAATAAGTATGCTATCGAGAATCAGAACCCTTGCACGCGACGGGTAGAAATTGACGGTTCGCTGCGGCCCGATCATTCCACAAGCGTTATCAAATTCGCCTAGGATTCATTCTGCCTGGCTAATGCTTGGTGTTATAAGAACAATGTGTCGTCATCAAAGCGAAGATGGTATAACTGCCGCCCATCGATTTTCACTCCAGTGTTGTCCCATTCCAATGTTCGCATGGAATTTTCGAGGGTAGAAATAAATAATTTTTGGCAAGATGGAATCGCCTTATCTAACCCCTCTTCTTATGTAGAAATTAATACTGGTGAAATTTTTATACAGCTCACGAACAATCATTTTTATACACTAGATAGACATTTATATAATTGCTGTTCAGAGCTCCGTAACTACTTTTGTCTTAACCGAGGTCCTTAAATCGATGAAAGTAAGAGAGAGAGCAGTCACATGTACTCTCGCGATACTTCAACGACTCTTTTTATACTGTCGATGTGGTCCATCGCACTGCTTCCTTTATAAATCCTACGTGCTCAAATGGGCGTCCTACGTCCAGTGTATTTTCATTCCTGTTTAGGATGAAGCGAGTGAAAAGTTTGTAAACGAAAGAGAACGAGGAGACTAGGCGATAGTTGCCGATACCGTGGAGGTCATCTTTCTTGAACAATAACACGGTATTGCTGGTTTTCCACTGAAGATGAAAGCTGTGTTCCGATACGTAACGTGTGAAGAGCCGAGGCAGTGTGTTTACGAGGATTGGCGGAAGGTTGTCCAGGTGTTCAGATCTCACCCTATGCGAGCCAAGTGCTGTTCAATTCTTTACTGACGAAATAGAATGTCGGATTTCACGAAGGAGAACTTGTAGCACGACATACCCATCCTTCTTTATTTCATATGAAAGCAGGAGTACGTGGTTATTGGAAAAAACCGAATAGTATTCGTGAATGATTTTCTCTATTGCCTTCCTGAAAGCTGTAACAGTCCCGTTTGGAAGCGGAACCATTTCGGTTGTGTAGTTGGTGAAGTCTCGGTGGGCGTTGCGAGTGCTTTCCCCAGCGTTTCTAACTACGCCCATAACTGCTGCTCGCCACTCTGCAAGATATTCTTTTATCACTCTTTTGCAAGCTCGCACGTGAGTTAGCGTTTGCTTATTTCTCGTGCGATTCATCTTTTGTGTATCAGCTCGAGTGTTTAAAGAGACTGACGCCTTTTAGTGACGTTCGAATTGTCAGCTTCCATAGCGCTAACGTGAAGATGTTGAATGAGCCGACTGTATTCCTCCTGGATGTTATCAAGAACGGTATATTCTCAAGAGCCAACTAATAAATTAAACAAATCCTAGTTTATGGTGGTTTTGGAACTTCGTTTTTCGAAATTAACCCCTTTCTTTTTGCGAGAAATGGAGTCTTGCACAAAGGAGGCGATGGTCCGATACCATGTAAAATTTTGGAACAACAGGTCATATCGATTATGGAAAACCTTCGATTTACTATGTTGTCGTCTATTTCGTTATGGTACTCTCCACCGGGAGACTCCCACGTCCAGCATTGAGAGTGGAGCTTCTGGAGTTGCTAGTTATCATGGATGACCTTGGTCGTTATGGTAAATTCAGGTAACCGTTCATCATATTCGTTCTATTCTAATCCGTCGGTCCCAATGTGGCGTCCTCTGTACGTTGTTCTGGGTATAACATTTACGTTAAAATCTCCAACAACGACCTTAAGGAATGAGTAGTATTTTCCGTAAAACTTTCCGAAGTAAGACATCGACGTCGTAGAGTGTCCGATGGTATTTCTATCACTCTTACGGAATTCTCTAGACCGTCCCTTATTAAGCAACGTTTTATGGCTGTACTTATTTCGTTTGAAATAAGGGGCGAGAGGAACAGAGCCTTGTTTTCGCTAGAATTATCGCTCTGGGGCGTGGGTTTTCCTCTATGCCTATGCCGAAAAGCTACAGTTTCGTAACCATTTGAAATGGCTATTTGGCGCGCCAGTTTCGAGGATTTTTCCCTCTGCTCTCTACCTGGGCACACGCTGGCGGCGGTTCGAAACGTATTACTGATAAGCGCCCTTTTAGTATATGAGGGATGAGAGGAGCGGTAATGAACCACAACATTCTTACTACTTGGCTTTCGATACCATTTTGTGTTGTAGCCGTTTTCGGATAGGTCGATTTGAACGTTTAGGAATGGAAGCCAGTTTTTTTTGGGTTTCTCACAGGTCAATTTTATGTACTCTGACTGTTCGTTCAATAACTCAAAGCATTTGTCCATTTCCTCTTGTGTGGAGCAGATGACAAAACAATCACGTATATATCTACAGTAGAGTAATGGCCAGGGGTCGACCTATTCCGTCCCTTCCTAGACCGTCTGCGCAACGCACGTCCGAAAGGGTGTACGTTGTGGAGTCGTTCGACGTCACCGCCCTTTACACTAACGTGTCGAACGACTCCGCAATGCAAGCCACCCGCGAGCCACCCCGGTCTGAAAAAGGCGAAACCGCCGAAACGTCAGCTATTGTGTCCTAATAAATTCTATAATAACAACCTCGTTTCTGCTTATTGAAGAAAAACATCGAACTCTCATGAACGTTTAATTGCCCAACACTTCAGGAATAAGAACGTATTTTTCAAGAAAATTGGTGGAAATCAGAGAACAACAATGTTGTTTTCTAATATGATAAAACGAATGACAATTTTCTCCCATCCCCTCAACAAGATCTGACGTTTATCATTTTATGTACCTAGAACAGAAGAAAAACATTGAGCAAATGACAACCTTGGGAAGATTTCGGAGAGCATTTATCGATATCTGAGACCAAAAGGTACCAAGCAGCTCAGTCGCACCATAAATCCTGTGAAAACCATATCTCAAACTTTCGTCGAGATAAGGAAGAATTCGAAAAATTTTTGTGAAGCTATAGTTGGGATTGTAATTGGTAGTTACACGACAAATTTAAAGACACATTTACACAACTTACATATCTCGTATTCACAGGCATATTACAACTAGGGGCGCGTGTGGCGCAGTGTCGGAGGTGCCCTGCAACACACATGTGGAACCGATCCCTGCGCCCATCACTCACCAAGCCTTCCATCCCTCCGAGGTCGGCAAATTGGTACCAGACTTGTCTGGGAGGATAACAGCACTGGCTCGATACATCGGTAGGCCACCACTAGTCATTGTAGAGGCAACATATGCATTCAATCACCTACAACAATGTTTAATGAAGTCGAATGCATGGCGCATCCCTCAGGGATTGATCAGCGCCGATAACATTATGCTCTATTTTTTAAATTACCACTAGATTCTTGAAAGATAAGAGAGACACAGGTGAAAAGTATAAAAGAATGAGGCATTCGGCGTTGATGAGTCCGTGAAGAACATCCTCCAAGTATTCGACTTAATTGAGCGTTGTTCGAGGTGAATCAGTGCATATCTCGCCCATGCAATGATGCGCGGTGGTCTACCAATGTATCGCATCAATGTTTCTTATTCTTCCAGAAAAATCTGGTTTTAATTTACGATCTTAAGAATGATGGAAAACTAGGTGAGTCCAGGCCACAGAAACGAACCAGCTGCCAATCCAGTATGCACTGAAGGGCATCTCTAACTTTACTTCGCCACACGCGTCCTCAAGATGGGTGTATAATAACGGACCAATTTCATTCCCTCGATGTTCTCCAAGTCCAAGAAACAAATTTACGAAAAAAACAGTGTTATACCTTTTTATTTTCTGCCTACTATAATTTCGCGGCAGGGTACTAAGCGAAATACAACCACAACGTTGCTGAGATATTTGCAAAACTCTGGACCGCAGGTGTCTATGGTGGGGAACGAACGCGCTATTGTCCTTTACAGGGAGTAACGCGTTCACCACCAGACCATGCGGACCCCTTGTTTCGCCTGTCTCTCAGCTATTTCTATCGATCTTTGCCACAGCAATCACCCATCAGCGGGATTGATCTGGAGCGCCCAAATCGGCATAGAACACAGTTAAGCTGCGGCAGCCAGTTAAGAAAAAAACAGTGTTTCACCGTATATCGACGATTCTGGTTCCGCCACAAACTTAATGATCTTCTGTGCAATGCTAGGAGGCTAAGCGCTATCACTAGAAATTATTTCTATGAATAATGAGTAATCGTTCTCGTTTAAATTAGATTCGTGCAAAAGAAATGGCTGATGTTCAAAAGCAACAGTGAAATTCTACCCATAAACCGGTTCAAACGCAACTTCAGCAGTGCGACTTCGTTGTCCAAAGTTTTGTCGGCAAGCAGCTGTCGAAATGTGCAAAATGGAAGTTTAAACACCAATTTCCAAATATCCGAACTTCGACAACGTTAGCTGTGCAATGTGTAGTGTTATATAAGAAGACTGGATTTCTTCGGTTTACTACTCCTGAGCAGAAACACTATCATCTTTTTGTTCTTCATCATTGCTTCTCTAAGATGAAACTTTCGCTTTTGTTCAGGAAGTTGTGATGGATTTATCCAGCTGTTAAGCAGTCATAACTTTCCATTTGTTCAAATTTGGTTTCGAAAAGTGTTTGAGCGCACCATCTCATAAGGTCCATTCCATCGCACATCACAATTCGATGTAGAGATGGGTTGTTTCGTTGCACAAAAAAAAAACGTTGAAGATAGTTTATACCAACGATCCCCACTACTTCAACTCGTATGGCACACATCGACGTTCTCCACTTTCTCAAAGTCTTCCAAACAATGGACCATTGTTATTGGGTTAACGCTGAGTTCCCAGAATCTACTTTCTATTAACCTCGGCATTAGATTATAAATGCGTCATTTTTTTGTTCAGCTATCACGAGGTTGTTATACAGCACACATTTACTTCCGTGCAAAAACGCACAATACAACAGTAGTTGACTTTTCCGCAGTATTGCCTTCTTCAGAGCCTGGAAGGGTACATTGTTATCAGATATGCGATTAAATAAGGTGATACTGCCAAGACGTCAACTGTTGTATTGTGTTTTTGCACAAAAGTAAATGTGTGCTGTACAACAATCTCGGGATTGCTGAACAAGAATACGACAGACTAACGCTGAGTTTTACATCTCCAGCAGTTTTTTTCTGATAGTTAGTTTCGGGAATGGTGTCCAGATGGTCAGCGACTGCAGGTGGGCGCCGATGAGTTTCTTAACCACGAAAACTCATTCCGTCGGAGCGGGACTTTCATAACCATATGCGATCAAAAGCATTTTGTTGTTTTATAATATTATGACGTTTTAAGGCGACGCGAGTTCATTAACACTTCAGCGACAACGCTTAATTTTTGGTTGCCCACGCAATGAATCGAAAATCAATCATTGCCAGCCAAACTGCTCCTTTACGTACGAGATACATGTAGTCTCCATATTAGCAAGCTTTCATGCTTCTGTCTCCGTACAAAAGCCAATTAATCACCGCGAGACTCACATGATACTCGACCCATTCACATCTGTGTTGGATAATCAACCAAGTGGATATAAAACATGCAGCAAAAAAGCTCTGCACGACAAAATATGCAACACGATAAATGAGTCACGTATTACTCATACCAGCCAGATCGCCCACAAAGCTATGACCTATGAGTAATTTAAACTACCAAGTAAAGAAGATAGATACAAATGTCCTGCTACACATCTTCAGCTTAGAAAGGCCATAATAATCCACGTGACAGGTCCCTAATTCGTATGTACATCAATAACATTATAAAGTCCTCAAGTTGGCCTCACCAATGGCTCAAAATATAAGCAAAGATGCTGACATTTTGGAAAGAATTACCTAACATGGACTTCTTGCCACGAAAAGAACCATGATGTTTTTAGCCGTCCGTCAATTTTCAAAAAAAAAAAATTAAGTGAAACAAGAGAAAATCTGGAGAGACAGTTCCACAAGGGTTAAAATGGCGAATGGAATAACAGACAAGCAATTCTTTTTTAAATCCTTCGCTTGGACATTGATTAAGGCGAAGAGCTTTAGAATGTAAAAAGGACTGGATGAGAACTGTTTTAGATAGCTACATCATAGTATTTAACCAAAAGCAATCAAGGTGGAGATGATATACTCCATAATGTTGATTGAGTTCCCCTCTATTGAAAAAAACAGACAAAATCCCATTTTTCAGCAACTAACACGCCTCCAGTTTTTACGCTCCGGGAATAAAGGATCAAAGGATAAAGCTCTCGGTGTTGATCAATCCCTGAGTGTTGCACCATGCATTCGACTTCATTAAGCATCGTTTGGAGGTGATTGAATGCATATCTGGCCTTTACAATGACTCGCGGTGCCCTACCAAGATATCGAGCCAGTGCTGCTATCCTTCCAGACAAGTCTGGTACCAATTTGCCGACTCCGGAGGGATAGAAGGCTTGGTGGGTCAAAAGAGCGCGATCGATTCTACGTGTGTGTTGCAGGGCGCCTCCGACCGCTGGGCCGGAGATAATAACAGGAATTACCTTTAGTCTTCTTGTTGCGCAAAGGGGTTGTCGATTTGCTCCATTCCATCTGCTGGAGCCACTATGGTTATTGCCGTTCCTCGAGCAACGATTAGTCCCAAAGACCTGAAAATAACATCAGCGTTGGACTACTAGTATCTTAAAAATGTTTCAGTAAAAACTCTTCGAAGGTCTTGCTTTATATAAAATCAATAAGCGAACTCCATTAAGTGTTATCAATCACTCTCTATAAATCAATCCCGTTCCATTTTACAATTTCCCAACAGTGGAGCTACATTCACCACAACAAAATATTGTGAAGGGTTGTCTAACCGTTCACATTCCTCTGAATTTACTTCTTTAGCCTAATTAAAGCAGCAGAATTGTATGACAACATTAACCTCGTGTCATCACCAATTGTTCCTGGGTTCTCAGGATCACGAAGATATTCAACGCAGTTATCCAGAACAAGATTCAACAACGCGTCGTAGCCCTTGAGAATTCCCGCTGCTAGAAAAAAAATTAAAAATCATCTGAATCGCATTCTCTTCCCTTCCATTGGGTAGAATACAAACCTTCTCTGCCTCCTTGGAATTTGACACGGATTTTCTTATCAATGAATCGAGCAAGGTCAACGATTGATTCTTTCTTCTTCCGTGTTCCCTCATCCTTACCCTAAACGGTATAAATTATGCTAAAAATCAATGAGACGAACCAAAACTAGATGAAGAATCATATCGTTGCCATCGACTGGACCCGATCAATTTCGTACAAGGATCTATGTCTCCATATTCCTTATGAAAGCTATCATTAAAACCACCCAACGTAACCTTTTCTTCTAAAAGCCAGATTTTAAATGTCCAATTCCCAAACAAATAAAAATCCTACGTCTATAACCAGTACCTACGGATGACAGACAGTTCACATAACGTTGCAACAAGCAATAGCGTGCATTTATGGAACACAGTGTTTGCGGCAATGAAATTACTTTCCTTCCACTAGAACAGTAGCAGCTCCCAACAGTTTACTGTCCCATCGTGGCTAGGAGGTGTTCCTTGATGTCGGGTTGCGATATACAGCAGGGGAATTCATTCGACGGCAGTCTCCCACGCTCAGGAGTCCAGCGTTTCCGTCAGGAAGCCCAGCTAAGAGCAAACCAATATCAAGAGATCCACTACCGTTCTTGTAGCAAATTAGTCACGTGGTGAGAAGTCCCCCCACTGATTTACAACGATGGCGACTGCCTGTGGTTGTGACGACCTGAGTAGATTTTGGCCAGGCCGACCTCGGGACTCCAGGGAAACACAATGGCTAAACCAGCAAAACTCCGAAAAATGGAGAATATGCTGGGGCCGGTACGAGTGAGGACAGGCGGTTGAAATACCCAGGTCTCCAAGTACAGTAGCAAACGTTCGTTACTGGATAGGCTTCTGGATATGATGATTTTATCTTCCTTTTACGCTTGGATAGTCTTGCCAGGAGAACGATACCCATTCTCTATAAACTCAGAGAGAACACTTTACCAATCTGAGGTGGTAAATACTGAAGGTAGTTCTTGCTTCTTTCAAAAAGCCCTATTATCAAGATCATGACATAGCTTTAATGTAAGCAGGTAATTACAACATTCAGATGAAAGATACCAAGATACCAATGAACCACTAACATTTAAAAAATCACAGGAATGAAGAATAATATGAAGCAGTATGAGGCGGTGATGGTATGAGGGTAGTGGAAACTGTACGAGCGCTTGTGAAGAATACCGCTATAAATACCGTTTCAGTGAGACTACCATCTGTTGCACTCCTCCTAAAGGTCGACTCCTAAACTCCCACTTTTTCTCCTTAGGATTCATAAGTACTTAGTTTTCGAAAGCGGTTAAAGACAAGACTGATTAAAACCACTTCCTACCACTAGTTTAAATACGAAAACTTCACCTATAACTCGGGACGATGGTCCTAGGAGAGCCTTAATAAGCAGTTTCGATTCCTCAAACATAGGGTGTTAACGTTAGTTTATCGCAGATCCACATATTTCCACTTTTTTCGAGAAGCACTGATGGATATTTCACATGGTGCATGGATAAATGGAATCATTAAGCAGTGAATTCGACATTCGAGCATACGAAATCATCAGCTGTAGCTCATCAAGGTTGATGTTTGAATATTGACGTTTTAATATGTGTTTAAATTGTTGAGCTTACACAAGACTGATAACACAGTTTTATTCGGCTAACGTTCCGACATCTTCGTCTTCATCAGAGCCGGTGATGCGAGTCGATGGTCCAGTGACATTTTAATGTGGAGATTTAAAGAGAACTTAAACGGAACGTCCAAAGAAATGCAAGTTGGTATTCCTAGAGTGTAGTAGAATGAACAGAAGTAGAACATTTGATTTATCTACTAATATTGTATACTGACCTCCCAACGGTTTACCGCCCCATCGTGGCTGGGAGGTGTTTCTGGGTGTCGGATTGCGACCTACAGTGGGAGATTCATCCCTGGCAGGGTCTCCCAAGCTGAAAAGGAGTCCGGCGTTTCCATCAGGAAACCTAGCTAAGAGTAAACCAACACCAGGATCCACCACCGTCCTGGTATCGAAGTCGCATGGTGACAAATCCCACTCTGATCCACAAGGACTGTGACTGCCTGTGGTGGTGAAGACCTAGGGCAGACCTTGGCCAGACTGTCCTCGAGATTCCAGGAAACCACAATGGCTTAACCAGCAAATCTCCGAAAAATGGAGATTATGCTGGGGCCCCCACAACCAGTGTGGACGGGCCATTCAAGTATAGGTATGGGACACTGTAACCGTATATCATACATTGTAATAATCCTAAAAGAGACTGTCGAATAAGAGTATGATGGTGCCTAGAGAAAAGGCTAAGACGAAGTCGATTATCTTATCTACAAAGAAAGACATCTACGAGTGTAATTTACAGCTATATTTAAAGGTAGCTCCAGTTACTAAAGGCAGTTGGACACGTCTTCGAAAATCTGGTTAAGCCTTATCCTTCAGTTGCCACTAACATTGCTTCGATAATTCTACATCTTTTAAACACTGACCAGTTACAAATTCTAGTACAACAGAAAACCTCTGGATATTTTATCGACTATTTCACGAAATATAGTAACGAAATTGTTGTTAAGGGAGAAAGTTTAATTACTACACGTGTTGGAAAACATTAACTAATAATGATGTGCTAGACTTTTCAGCTTTTTCCCCATGACTTTATGGAAGCAGTATATATGTCATCCTGGATCAACATGCTTCTCAATCCAATCAATTTAAAACGTATAGCAAAAACAACCCTCTTTCTTCAGTCTAGGACTTCTCACTGAAGCAAAGCGAATAACTTGGACACTTGGATGCATGGATTAGCCGTCTTCACTGGTTTTGCGGGTCTCAGCATAATTTCCATTTTTTTCCGAGCTTAGCTACTTTATCTATTGTGGTTTCCTAGAGTCCCGAAGTCAGCCTTGCCAAAGTCTGCTCCAAAGCAAATAATGTAAACATAATTCTACAACACGCGTGCGTAGGGAAGTTAAAACTATTCCTATGGGAACAGGAGAACCAACATGAGCCCAAGACAGTTTAGCGTAGACAATATAACATGAAATATGAAATAGCGAACTTATCAGACGATGTGTAATGTAACGTGAACAAACCTGATGCAGCCCGGCGGACATTTCTTTCAGAGAATTCGACGTACGAGATCCTAAGCGCGAATTTTAAACAGGAAAAGCTACCAATTCTGAAAAAGCGGTTTCCTGAATGACGAAGGCGACTGGAAACGTTTGAGACAGACAAAACCCATAATGATGCTCAGATATTCGCAGAACGCTAGACCGCAAGTGTCTGCAGTGGGGATCGAATACGCTGTTACCCTTTTGGGTGGCTAACCCGTTCACCAGCACACCATGCGGGTCCCATGTGGTTATATTTCACATAATACCCAGCCATTAAAAAAAAGCACAGGTGGTAAATAAAAAGTGAAGATAGACACAAGTATTAATTGGATTCGTACATGTCGTGCTACTACGAACTACTAAGTAAGTACACCCCAGCCGCCCTTCCATAACGTGACTTTAACTCCTGCCTGCCTGTTTTCTACACCTTAGCTAGGAATTCTCTTTCGCTCAAGATGAACTACTACTTCATTACTAACAGGAGCTTGAACACCTCCCTTGATGTTTTTGTCTTGGCGACTACACAATTCGGACAAAGTCGACATCATGGTAGTAGATTCTCACGTAATCGCAATTATTATGAACATTATTCCCTTTTACCTATACGTCTAAATAACAAATAGAAACGAGTTGTCCTGAACTATGACGGGTATAGAGATGTTTGTGCACGGGAAGAAAACCCACGAGCACATTCTCGGACGTCGGGTTAGTTGTAGTCGGTGAATCTACGACAATGCGTGCAACCAGTCGGTCAGCGACGGAGATCTGCCAGCAGACAGATCCTTTTAGCTGACCACTAGCTTGTGGATTATCGTAGAGTTTCCTCTCTTCCCGAAGAATCCGTGTTTTATTCGTCTAAGGAATTCTTTGAGGAAAAAGCAAACTTGCTTAGTTCTATGAACATACGTTTGTTTTTGGCCTCACATTAGGTCAATTTTTCAAACTACCACATTTTAGATCACTTGTTTTACGTTGGTTTATTACAGGTGTAAAATATTGATGAAAATTAGCGGTGGTTGATGTCGGTGGCGGTAATTTTTTTCTCACGAAGCCATGGATAATCTTGACAAGTTCTATCGGAGTTTCGAGAGACCTCCTTTTGCTCCTGTATACTACCCAACGGCCGAAGAGTTTCTGGATCCTCTTGCTTACGTTGCGAAAATCCGTCCAGAAGCAGAAGAATATGGTGTTGTCAAAATTGTACCTCCAGAGGTTAGACCTGCTTCTATGAGTTTGTTTGTTCCAGAAAGGGGCAGTGGCTCCCACTTATGCACTATACCTAATGTTTATCCCATTTTCAGAGCTTTAAGCCTCCTTTTGCCATCGATAGCGAGGCCTTCGAGTTTACGCCTCGAATTCAGAAATTAAACGAGGTGGAGGCTATAGTCAGAGAGCGGCTGGTATGGAGATATCGAGGCTTACGAAATCGTTTTTAGAATTTCATTGCTTTTAGTCAGTTCATAGGATATGAAACTGTAGCTGGTATTCTTAAATTTATAGCAATTTGGTGTTTCCTATTGATTTAGCGATGTGTCTAGAATGTGGTTTTCAGGTATTCATGGAGAAGTTGACAACTTTTTGGAGTTTGCAAGGTTTCGAGTTCAAAAACCTTCTTGTAGATAATAAAAATATTGATCTCTTCAGGCTTTATAAGGCGAGTTTGGTCTAGAGTTCTTGTCCTTCTTGCTTTGAGCCTACGTAGCGTCTAAGGCGATTTCTAAGGCGTTCTTGTATCCGGTGATTTTACCGCTGAATGCTCAACTGATGTGCTGCTTATTACAAGCAGTACTTCGTTCATGTTATTTAATTATAAAGTTAGGATAGCGTTGCTTAGCACTTGCATGACCGCTTAATTTCGCATGGGTTTCACTTTTAACTTAGCCGAGCTTCATATGGTAGCGAACTTACTGGTTGTGGACAATATAAGAAAGTTTTTCTTAATAGATAGGTGACTTGAGAACTTGAGGATATGGTAGAACTATAGAGTATTTGCTTATCGCGTGTGGTGCATTGGTTGGAGGCGCCCTGCAATACACATCGGGCCGATTCCCCCACATAAGACTCACCAAACCCTCTATCCCTCCGGAGTCGGCGAATTGGTACCAGACTTGTCTGAGAGGATAGCAGCACTGGCTCGATACATCGGTAGACCTCGGCTTGTCACTGGAAAGGCCAGATATGCATTCAGTCATCCCCAGCGATGCGTAACGAAGTTGAATGCATAGCGCATCCCTCAGGGATTGATCAACACAGAGAGCTTCATCCTTTTTGTTTATTTATTTGGCTATCGCTCTAGGGATATGCGTAGTGTGTTCTACTATTTATTGCATGTTGCTGTTCCATCATGAAACCAGATTGCTGTCAACATTTAGAAGTGTTTTACAACTTATCTCGGGTATATTTCCCTGTTTTCTGCACTCATCCGTTCAACACAAGAACCATATTGAACTCGTCCAAAAATAGATCGGTTATAAATTAGGAACTGTAGAGCTATGCTTTCCACGGACGATACATAGTACAATATCTAAGTTGAATAGGTTATCGATTGCTCATGAGAAGTCTGTGAAGAAGTTCTCTGGCCAAAATAAACTAGAGTGAAGACGAACAGTGACCTCTATACAGGTTACTTCGATCACAATTTCCTCACACATAGTATAATGATACAGAGTCGTCGTCGCGTAAGTGATAATGAAAGTGGCAACAGAAGTTTCCTGCTGTCCTATGTCTTCCTTGTAACAGTTAGATGACAAGGTCGTATTGTTATACGTAATTAGAGACTTCTTCTAACTTTAGGTTGTATGCAGTATGGGGGGAGCGAATTTAGTCACATCGAGGAAGCAATGGACTCAAGTGGCACGGAAGGTCAATGTTCGGACCAACCATGGTATTTGCAGCGTTAAGTCTTACTACACAAAATTTATGCAGCCATTCATATCCTTGTTGGAGGTAGGTAAAAGATGATCGTGGAAGTGTTGAAGCTCATTATATTGTTTTAGAGCAGACGTAGTATTGATGAAGAGCCTACCAGCGATGTTGACATGAAGGATTCAGAAGATGTCTGCGTGCCATCGATGCAAGGTAGACGAAGAGCGGTTAGGCCTCAAGGAAGGATGATGGCAGGGCTCCCTCAGCCAAAACGAACTAGGGTTGCACCACATAAAAGTGGGAAATTATATGAACATCTTGTTAACTTTTTTATTTCAAACTACAATTTTTCACGGCAGGGTATTATGTGAATTACAACCAGCTGAGATATACCTATGGTGCCAACGGTAGGAATCGAACACGTTATTACCCTTTCCGTGGGCTAACGCGTTCACCACCACACCATGCGGGTCTTTCGTTTCGCCTTTCTCCCAGCTATAAACACCAATAAGTGCACTTTTCTCGTACATCTCTTTTTTTTTTTAGAGAAGTCTGATCCAATGGAATATGTGTTCTGCATAGTGTGTAGCAGTGGGGATGACGAAGACTGCCTTCTGCTCTGTGAAGATTGCGATAAAAGTATCCATACTCGCTGCTGTGATCCACCATTAGATTGTGTGCCGAAGGTTGTGATTTCCTCTCGAGTTTAAATCAAGTATACTTTTTTAAACTAACAATTTGCCTTCTGAAGATAAGTCAAATGTTTTATATCATTTAATTAATAACGTCGATATGCTTAGGTGCGCCTGATTGTGAGCTGAAATAAGAGCATTTTTTAGGGTGAATGGCGTTGTCCAAGTTGCGTTGCTACCGAGGTCTCGAAAATTGGTCTCAACTATGGTTTTTACGATACTCATGTCACATATAACCTATTTACCTTTGCCGAATATGCTAACAAGTTTAAAACAGACTACTTTAATGTAAAGGAACCGGAGGTGCGTATGGTTTACTTCTTCGAAATAGCTGTTGTGGAATGGAGCCCTCAAATGCAGTCTTTTTCGCTTCTTGTTCTTCTTCTGTTTGTCTGTAGTTGTCTGTAGTCTAGGATGTTTCGGCAGAAGCAGTAGAACGTGAGTTTTGGCGTATTGTCATCAACACTGAGGAAACAGTTGTTGTCAAATATGGTGCAGATCTGATAACTAGCAAGGTAGACCCGCCATAGAGTTTTGAATTTCTGTTAAATGTGTCTATATTTTTAGACATGTCAGTCTATTGATGCGTACTTTTAAGCAGCTGTAATGCTTAAAATATTCTCGTTTTTTTCAGGTAGGTAGTGGATTTCCTCGAAAGGGTGATGACTATCGTGGAATTGATTCTAAACAGAAGCACTACTACGCGCATCATGCGTGGAATCTGAACAATTTACCAGTCCTTAAAGAATCGGTTCTCTCGCACATAGAAACTGGTATATCCGGTAGGTATCAGCAATGTATTAGACAGTTTTGTTCGCATTCAGTAACGAGCGTTACAGGAATGATGGTACCTTGGGTATACGTTGGGATGTGCTTTAGCACATTCTGCTGGCACACGGAAGATCACTGGACGTATAGCATTAATTACAATCACTGGTAGATTAGTTTTGAACTTTTTCGACCATTTTTCAAATGTATAAATGGCAATAAATGTGGCTTTTAGGGGAGAACGCAAAATTTGGTATGGAATTGGTGGAGATAACGCACCAAAATTTGAGGAGGTTGGGTTGAATGTGATATTCTCTAACTGTAAATTTGAGTAGGAAAATTTCTTAGAATAGTCAGTGATTCATTTTAAAGGTAGTTCGCCAATTAGCGCCAGATATTACAATGCAGAAGGATATTTTCCATCATATGACTACTGCCGTAAATCCAGCAGTTTTACTCTCTAGAGGAGTGAAAATTTGGACGGTATGTGTGTATTTGTATTTTTCGATGATTTGTTTAAAAATCATGGTTTTCCAGGTGCATCAAAATGCAGGTGAATTTGTCATCACATTTCCACGGGCTTACCATGCAGGTTACAATGAAGGGCTGAACTTCGCAGAAGCTGTTAATTTCGCTCCTATTGACTGGGTAGGATATTGCTTTATCGTAAACATTTAAGCTTTTAAGTTTTATTTATTGCAATTGTTAATTTTATAGTTGAGCAAGGGACGTCAGTGTATTTCCGAATATGCAAATGTTCGTCGATTTTGTGTGTTTTCTCATGATGAACTGGTTTTGAAGATGGCTTCTTCATGTGGGAAACTTGGAATAGCAATGAGCCTGGCTACACTGGATGAGATGCTTGAGGTTATGTTTAGAGGTTATGTGGAGAATACAGAGAACTCCAAAGAAATGGAAGCATTGAAATGGAAGTCAGAAATCATGTCTGCTCATTAGTCTTCAGTTTATATTGTTGTCTACAGAAGCAAAATACAGAATTTCTGTTAGATATGACTGATTAGAGAAAGTAAAAAGTTAAGGTGAGAGTTGATTGTTTAAAGATAGCGAAACGAGAAAGCCAAAGTAGAATGGAAGTCACTAAACGTGGAGTGCAGCTGTCGCAAAGGGAAAATTTTGAATCCATTGTTGACGATGCACGCGTTTGCAGGTAACATACATCTCAACTTCTCGCTGTGATGTTTCTTTTTTTAATCGCAAATTCTTGAGGTATTGTAATACTACTGTGTTCCTTTCTGCTTTAACTTGTGCCCATGGAAAGACAGTCTGCCTTGAGCATACGGATCACCTGTGCAGCAAGTGCCTAGCTTCGGAGTGCTTATTGAAGTGTGACGGTTTCTCATTAATGATGATTTTAACACAAAAGTTTCTGTAAACCTACTTTCATAGGTATCGGTATACCATTGATGAACTGAACGAAATGGTCCATAAACTTGAAGAACGTACAACACTTTATTTCGAATGGAAGGACCAAGTTGATAACATTTTGAGCAACGCTCAGCATAAACCACGTAAGCGTTTTTTACGCTATTTATTCTATAGCTTTTACACATTCTTTTTTTTTCTTTTGTCAGAACTTATCATTCAGTACATGTTGCGCAAGGAAATTATTTTAGCATTGAGTGTTGTGGAGAGTCTTTTGGAAACTGCCCGTCATAGGAAATTCCCTCACACCAGTCCACTTATGAGGCTGTTTGACATCGCGAAGAAGTGTTACGCTGCGGCTGAAAAGTCTCGTACACTTCTCAATGGAAAAGTTAGAACAAGGTACATCAAGTACCCCTTTGGGGTAATAAATGGTAGGGAATAAAGGTCTCGACGTTGATCAATCCCTGAGGGAGAGCTTCATCCTTTTCCTTTAGTACGTCTTTGGTAGTTTTGTGTCGTTTTTTATCCGGTTTTCGTTTTAAAACAGTTTGATAACTTGTCAACTAAATCTTTGCTTACCAACGTATGCTTAAAAACCGGTGATTTTTGTAAAACTCTAGGTTGCTGCTTTAGAGTCAAAACTCGAATACAACGTGCAGACACTCGTTTGGATCTTGACGGCATCAGACTTCTTATCGATGAACTACGTGCATTGCCATGCGATCAAGAGATCCTAATAAAAGAACTCGAGGTTTATTTTTGCTTAGACCTGTTTTTTAAGATGTTTTGATATTTCCACTCCCTCCTCACTTCCTTTCTTTTCAAAAGTTGCACTCTTTATAGAGCCTTGTTCAAAGAATAGAGACTTGGCGAGTTGAAGCCAATAAGGTTATCAGTCGGTGTAAAGCAGGCGACCTTGACGTATCCTCCGATAGTCTACAAGCTCTTGTTGAAAGAGGAGAAGACTTCGACGTGCGTTTGGACGAAGTGGATCAACTTTGCCGCGTATGTTTTTACAATATCGCTTTCGGGGATATGTTTCTAATATTACGAATATTTCTGTATTGCGATAAGTAGATACATTCTTAGACACTAGAAATGCGTCGATGGACGACTGAAGCTAAGCGTGTATTGGAGTGGTGTACACCTGAAGGGTTCGAAGAACGTGACGATTTTTTGAGTCACGTGCGATTTAAGGCAGACGACGTTTTGCGGTTTGTTGTCCTTGCAAGTATAGTTCGTTGAACATTCATGAGTCTACATTGCTTATCGGCATGGTATGTTTTTGTTTTTAGTTTGGTTTCTGAAGGTTCACGACTGTTCGCTAATAGTGGTTCTTTATCTCCTGTTAATCGACTACACTCCACTCTTAAAGCTGCTCTTCTTTCTGAATCCAAAGTACTTTTTTTCGGTTTAATACGCCTTCTCATCCTTTTTTGTGGAATGGGACATAATTTTAAGGTTGAGTTACTGCTTTCTGACTCTTCTGCGAATGAAAACGACCTTTACACCCTTTGGGAGGAAATTCGGAAGTCAGATTGGCTTGATTCGAAAAGTTCGTTAATGTTCTTAACTCTTTCTGGCTCTTTTTTTGTTCAAAATGTACTACCTGAACTTTTTATTCCTCATTTTCAAAACATTAGGTTACAAACTATTTAGCAGCTGCCACTTGAAAATGTGACCGGTTTCTTACGAATTTCTTTAGCAATGACTGTATTGAGAGAGGAGTTAATACGAGTGCATACTGTTCGACAGCGAATGTGTCAACGAGAAATCACTTTACATGACACGCTAGATGTTATCAAGGAGTGTCGAAATTCAAAGTTAGTAGTTAATCGTTAATAGTAACAGTTTATTAGATTGTCGACTTTGATCACTTTGGTTTTCTATTTCAGATTTCTTGTCGAATCAGATATGCACAAGAGTGCCATGGAGCTACGAGATAACTTGCTCAAGTTTACTCAAAGATTACTGAACCTGTTTCAGAAACCAGCTTCTTATTATAATTTAGTAGAGGTAAGTGCCTCGTTTTTCTGTCAAACATTCCTTAATTACGTGGTTTTCCCATGGTCCATTGTGGCTTTGGTGGCCATGAGTTTCTTCTATGTTATGAATACGGGTCTCAAGCCGGTTAATCAAAATTTTACACAATAGAAGACATGGGGCTAAATACGGATCAAATTCGGTCGTCTAAACTTCCCTTGAGCTGCACTTGTTTCGGAGAATGTGCTCCCTGTTTGCTACAGTGGGCGGAATTCTACGTTCGGTGAACAAGATCCATTTCCTCAAATAAATGCGTAGTGCGCTTGTGTATAAGCAAATTGTTTCTGCAGATAACTTGAGAGGAAGTTGTAGCTTGAAGGATAAGAGGTATTTGAGGCACAGTATTGTTTACAACCTACTCTACGACCCATGGGAGGGCTAGATAAGTTATCCGTCTATTCACACATTCCCTTCGGCAGAGCTGAACTAACTACCAGTGATTCAAAAGACCGAATTTTTATAAACCTCGGCATAAATAGTTGATGTATTTATTTATATGATTTTATAAACTGACTTGTTGAGCTGATGCGAGTTTGATATAGGTTTTCGTTGTTGGTGTTGTTCGTCGATGGCTGACGTTTCGGCGATTTCGCCTTCCTCAAAGTCGTGCTGTTACGAGTGGGCACTGGAGCCTGATTATAGAGTCTCACTCGTAACAGCACGGCTCTGAAGAAGGCAAAATCGGCGAAACGTCAGCCATCGACGAACAACACCAACAACGACAACGAAAACCTATGTCAAACTCGCATCAGCTCAACAAGTTAGTTTATAAGATCATATAAATATATGCAACTACAAATGGCTATTATATCGCAAAAAAACAAGCAGGCCAAATGTGGGTAACGTAGCCCTAGTATCCTTCGAGTGAGTGGAGGCCAATATGAGAATGGCACCTAACATGTATTAACGAAAACATTATTGCTTTTCGTTCGAATCACTCGATAACTGGGGAATTATTGGCGATACAGATAATACTATGCTTTTTAATGAGTTTTAGCTTTTGTAGGCATAGTGCTTCAAAATAAGCAATGTTCCAATTTTTTCAGATAATTCGCGATCGTGATGACCTTGCACCCTTAGCGGAAGGTCAGACACTTGTCCGTTATCTCATTGATGCGTCGCATCCAGAAGAGCAGTGGTAAGTTCGCATTGACTTTCCTCGTGTGGTGATATCGAAAGGTTACTGCTTGTTATTAAGTGATTGTCCACAAGTATTTTCCTATTTGATTTCTCTTCTCCCACCACTTCTTACTTGCTACTTTGTTGCTCATATAAAAGTTTAAAAATTCACATGTAATGAAGTCTGCGTCGATTGGTAAAACTTTTGATAAATTCAACACTTTAAAAGCGTTTCTGTGTTGTTTTTCAAACGCCATGTTTGCGTGCTTTCTCTATCTTGTCTCCAGCCAGTGTAAGAAATTTGACAAGATAAACATAGGTAAGATCACAATCTTAACTTTTTGCTTGCTGCTTGCTACAATTTTTATAAATATTCGAAACAAAGGACCCGCATGGTGTGATGGTGAAAGCGTTAGTCCCCGAAAAAGGTAATAACGCGTTCGTTCCCCACCGCAGACACCTGCGGTCCGAAGTTTTACAAATATCTCAGCATCATTGTGGTCGTATTGACAACATTGTTTTTTCTGTATTCTTCTGTCACCTCGAATGCATTGTTTCTCTTCAGATTCTGATTTTGCCTCAAAGATTTCCTATTTACTTGTAATTTAGGTTGCAATTATGTGAATTTGGAACATCCGCTGAAATGAAACAACATTTACAAGCGCTAAGGTCTCAGCAGCGTACCCTCATCGGTGCGTTACAACTCGACAGTGTTTTTACAGATTTGACCAATATCCATGTGTTTGTAGGTTCGCTGCAGTTAATAAACACGCAGAGAACGGTCGCTGAGACCTGCGTTTGCGCTGGTATAGCCCAAAACGACGCGGAGTTGCTTGTTTGTTTGCTTTGTCGTGCGAAGTATCATAGTAAGTGATTTGTACGTTGGTAGTAAAGTTTATCGTCTACTCATACAGAATTTTAATGGAAAGGAGATTTTCAAGGTATGTGCTGCGAATGGGACTCGTTCTTAGACCGGCTTCCCGAGTTTTCGTATCTTTGCGTTAGATGTTTACGTGGAAGGAGACCGTGCATTGAAGACGTTCAGGCTGCATGTAACGTCGCTCCTCAAAATTCTCTTGAGGTAGATTCTTTTAATCCCTTTTTATTAATATTTTATAGGTGAAATGAAATAAGTGGTAAGTGGGTTTCAACGGCCATGTAGACAAGGGCTACCTTAGAGAATTGCGAACGATTTCACCATTTGTTCAGAGGACGTTTTATGTTTTATTTTTTCCTTTCTGTTACTTTTTTGATGCTATAAATCGGCGAGGTGACGTATGTTGTTGTTTTGAAGAAGTCTTAGATAGTGAAGGGTGATGTTTCTAATTTCTACCAGAGTAGTTGAGCTTCGGTGCCCCTATCATAACTAGGATACTACAGGTTTATAAATAGTGGTACTTTTACTACATAAGCGAAAATTCCCTCGACAATCTTCTAAATCCTTATTTGATAAATTGTATTGTGAATACAAACATGTTTCGATATATAGAAAAAACTATTTTAGAGCTTTCGAAATAGCCAATTTGCTTTCTTTACACATCACATTTAATCTCTCCACCTATTGATCATCTATTGATTCGCACAAACATCAGTAGTTTCGATTTGTTCCTGTTGCATGAAAGAGTATTCTATTGAATTCTGCTTGCTTTATGGGCTCTCATTCTTCTAAGATCTTTGTTAAGCAGTCTTTGATCCTTTGTCGTCGAAGTATTTGGGAGTTTCTGATTCCCTCACTTGCATAAAATGGTGTAGACTGAGAGGTGTCGTTTCAATTGTGCGTTCTATAGCGCTGGATGGTTTTTCATCCTCATTAAGTAGCTTCCACGTTCATGACGTCTATAATAAAGCTGGCAAGATTGTATGGACGAAAAAACGGAACGGTGTTAGTTGTTCTTTTCACTATTCACTCTGTTTTCAGTTCCCTTGTAAGCTAGCCAAGTTGCTTTCTTCGTTTTGCTTAGGTATGGGCTTAGTCGTTTATCACGATGATTTCTCAACTAACATGCACAGTGCTATATCATTAAGAGATCATTCTGTTGAGCGTGAATGAAGCATAGGAAATAAGTCCGTTTTTTATGAATATCGTCCTGTTGAGATTCAGTTTAAGACCAATCTTGCCCCAAGCGTTGTTGAGGTCGACCTGACTAATGCTTAATGTTAAAATATCAGTACCCAAAGGAAGAGGGTAGTTTCCGACTGTCGTCTCTGCTATGTTATGCTTCTAGTTATCGCATGACATTTTTGAGAGTGGTTTCAAAAAAATTTTGTCGTGATGGTTTTGTATTATGAAAACTTTGTCTTAACATCATTGTTAACACATTAGCTACGACCTTAGCCATATATTACTCTTATGTTTAGTGGTAAAGGCCGCTGAGAACCGCATGTGGCTCATCATCTTTTTAGCTGTTTATTTTGTCGCAAACAGTTTTTTCGTTGCACTTTTTGCAGTCAGGTTATTCAGCACAAATGTTTTGGCTAGCGTAGACTATGAAAAGCTTGGTTCTATACCCAATAGTTTAAAAACTCTAAAAAGTTTCGAAAGTATAGCAACCAACTTCGTTTCTACAGATATAGTCCTCTGGTCCATCCCTTAATCCTCTTCCCTTGAGGGGTGCTAGCATGTCTGCTGTTATACTAGCAAGCTGATGTTCGAAGGGATATTTCTTCTCCCCGATAAGATATTGGGTAAACCATTGAGGGAACTGGTACAGACTTATGTGGTATGCAGAAGAGCTAAATGTGCACACATCGTATCCATAAATGTTTTAACTGCGTATCTTTGAAAACATTGCGTAATCTCGACTGATTTTGTAGCAAATTTTCTTTCCATAAGTACTGTTCATACTGCAATTACATACAGTTCCAATCGTCTAGAATTCTGCAATGTTTATAGTTTACTACCTACTTGGATACTTGGATGGCCCGTCTTCACTGGTTGTTCGAGCTTCAGCACGTTCTCCATTTTTTCGGCGTTTTGCTGGTTCAGCCATTGCGGTTCGCTGGAGTTCGGAGGTCAGCCAGTCTAATGTCTGCCTCCGGTCGTCACCACCACAGGCAATGGCCATCCTTGTGGATCAGAGGGAGACTTTCCACCATGGGACTAGTTTAATATTCGGACGGTGGTGGATCCTGGTACTGATTTGCTCTCAGCTGATTTTCCTAAGGGAAACACCGGACTCAGCTTAGGAGGCCTTACTGGTGGGATGAATCCCTTTGCTAAATGTTGCAGTCCGATATCTAGGAACACCTACCAGCCACAATGGGGCGGTAAACTGTTGGGAAGATCTTTACAGTTTACAATATTAAAATGCAATTTTACAGTATACCTTGGAAAAGCATCATTTTTCATGATAATTATTGAAGCAGTTGGAACAGAAGTATTCTTTGCCGGAGCGCAGTCTCATGTTTCTATACGTTCTGAGCATTGTAACAGCAGGTCGTCGATTCCATACTTATGTCTTTTATGTGCTTTGTATTGTCAGTAAAGTAGGCCCGCTGGCATTTGCTGACTTATGGCATGTGGAGCTAAGGGCTTAAGGCATATGCTGACTTAAGGCAAATGGAGGACTTAAGGCAGAACATTAGTCGTAAATGCGATTAGGTGCGATAACACTCGAAATTAAGTGTCCGATTATAAGTGTTAATGAGCAGTTGAAAAAATTGGCTTGATCTAGAGAAAAATAGCCTTTACAGTTAATTCATAGTAAAAGAGCTTCGTCCAACACTAAATCCAAATGTGCTGTAGTATGCTGAGAAGTATGCTTATTAATAGTCAATCGTCAATAGCCTTCATCAATAGACGATTTGTTTCTGATTATTGGCTTTCTTGTAGAAAATCTCTTGGAATAAATAGCTGAAGTAATCTTTTGGTCATAAAATACGTCGAATTCTATTGGGTTGAATTGAAAATAGTCGTCCTTTAACTTGGCTCAAACACGACATTATTAATCAGAGGTGAACTGTTGGAATTCACGGCTTTTGCCAGCAACGTAAAAGCTTTTTTTAGATAGTGTGGAATTCTTATGTAACGAAATCATCGAAGACGTTCTCAGCAGCTTACGGTTGTTAAGGATTCTTCATTCAAAGTAGTCTTCAAGGTGTTTGTAAAAAAATGGTAGTTGGTTTTCGAGAGGAACAGTGAGTGTGATGGATGAGGCATGGTTTCGTAGCCTAACTTATTGAGCGTTCGTGGCATAGTAAGCATGAATACTTGACAATTTGTGTTAATTACTACGTGATTGATACAATGATGTTTTTGTTTCAATCATATCGATTTTGTGACAGTGCTTCTCTGCTGTGATTCGGAAAGTGGCATTTGGTTATCCTCACTGAGCTTACTTCATCATGACGTTTCTTTTTTGGTGAAAATTTAGCTTCAGAAGGCGTTTAAGTACTCTTTCTTAGTTCAGCTACTGCATTGATCGGCATCAGTTGTGCTATAGCATCGAGTTTTCGCACATCACAATGCGATTGAGAAAGCAGTCATTTTTTTTGTTCTACAGAGGAAGTGTAGCCTAAAATTTACAACGGTTTCCGTACTTTTTAATTCAGTTGTGTTCCACTTATTCATGAAGTTTTTTAGTTTTCTAGATGGTCAGTGATATTCAGATTTGAACCCATTAGGCAAAGTGATACCCTTTTCTCACTTTGGGTCATCATAATAATAACTAATGTAAGGTCACTGTGAATTAAATCTAGAAGGTGGACCGTGCGGAAAATAGTTACGTGTAGAATGAGTTTTAGAGTGCCATACATAAAAAAATGTTAGAAGCAAGTGTTCATTACAAAGTATGTTTGGAAACTTCATAATAACGGCGTCTGTTATAATTTTGAAGCAACTATATGTAGGTTGTTCTTGTTCGAGAGCTGATTTACCGAGGGCGTGAGCTGTCGTGTGCTGCTACGTCTTTATTCGCGGAAATTGTTGAAGCTGGTGATGAATGGAGCGTTCAATTGACGGAAAGGTATCTTTTCCTCTTGTCTGCTGTGACTTTCCTCTAGGGGTGCCTAGTGACATCTGTTGACATGGAATTCCTGGTTTGAAAGATCTGAAAAGCTGATTACAATTAACACTCTTGCGACGAATGACCTCCATAGGGGTCATAATGAGACCGTAGGAATGACCAGTATGACACCTGTAGGTGTTATTTTCTTTCCAGTAATTTATTTTCACACAGGAGTGTAATTCTCAAGAACAACTTTCTATTAACTTTGTCAATATTAAAATAATTCAATGTTTTTTGTTGAGCAACGACGATGTTGCTACTATTTTCTTTGTTGACAAAGAAGGTGAATTCGCCTTCAAAGGCTGGAAAGCTCAATTTGACTGCAATCTGCCCAGCCAATCATCAAAACTATAACCCCCTATAACCAAAACAAAAGAAAAAAACTGAGATAGTGATCTCGTTAGAAAGAAAAGAGCTTCTTCGCGCACTGATTGCTTTCTGTGGGTCTTCTACTAAGCGGAGACCAAACGCACAGAGTTAACATTGGAGCGTTATTTGCCTCGCTCACATTGAAATATCGGTCTTAAATACTGTGTGAGATCACACGTGATAACAAGGCATTCATTCCTGCAGTTCACTTTTGGATTACAGCCAGTTCGCAACACTATATGACTCTCTGTGTACAATGCAAATTTCCATAATATGCCCTAACGGAAGAGACCGTGATTTCATGAATTCAGATAGGGTTTATGAGAGTTCGTATAAAGCGTGGGGATAAATACATTGGCAAAACGGGTAGACACTCTGCGTCCGTGTAAAAGGACACCTAATCGGTAAACTTAAACCAAATACTCCATTAAGCGCGCATAGGATACAGAAACGTAACCGAGATTTTTAAGTAGAAGTTGCCATCCTTGAACGGGAATTGAAAACTTCAGAGCGCAAAAGTTTTGAGCAATTCTGGATACATTACTAGAGTCCAGAAATGAACCGCAAAAAGTAATGCCTCGTTATCACGCGTGATCTCAAACAGGATTTAGGGCTGATATTTTAATATAAAAGAGGCACCAGATGCTTCCACGTTGACTCTGCGTAGTTGGTCTCCACGATACCTACTCAATGAAAGACTATTAGTAATCGGTGAGTGTGCGAAGAAGCTACCTTGTTTTTAGTGTGTTTGAAATCTTGCTTTCGCGTTTTTTTATTTTCGTTATAGAGGTACATGAGTGGGAAGATTGCAGTCAACTTGATCTTTTCAGGCTTTTAAGAAGGCGAAATCCGTCAAAATATCAGCTTGTTTGTGAAGAATGGAGTAACAACCTTGTATACGCTCATCAAGAAAACAGTAATGTAGGACTGTTCTCCCGCATTTTTTTGTATTCATTAGATAATTTATCCAACCACATGCTGTGGCTTGCGTCGTTCATGAGAAGATATACCCACAATAATCTCTCATTTAATTTCTCATATTGCGGCGAGGCACTACTGCTGTTGAAGAGAGCGTGCAGCATGAAGAATGTAGCCAGTTTAGAAACCCAAAAACGTCTGCCTCAAAGAACTGGTACCGCATGTAGCATGCAGTATTATACATCCTAATATTCCTTGAATCTTAGTTTTATGCGCACATTCCTTGCATGGGTCCGTACAGTGCAGTGGTCAGAGGCGCCCTGCATTACACATAGGATCAATCCCCACGCCCTTGGTTCGCAAACTGGTACCAGACATGTTTGGGAGGATAGCAGCACTAACTCGATACATCAGTAGGCCACCGCGAGTTTATTGTAAAGGCCAGATATGCATTCAACCACCTCCAACGATGTTGAATGAAATCGAATGCATGACGCATCTCTCAGAGATTGCGCGAAGAGCTTTATCTTATCCTTAATATTTCGTGCATAATTTATACAACTTCTTCCTACTTCTGTTCAGCAAACACGAGGTGCTATTTTATTTCTTTATTTACGTACAAGCTGACGTTTCGGCGCCTTCCTCAGAGCCTGGAAAGGTCAAGTTGACAGCAACCTATTCGGCCAAACACCTCCATAACCAAACAGAGAAAACGTAGTTTACATGAACTTCAAGATAGACTCCGCAAAAAAGCTAAGGATGAAGCGCGAAATAGGCGCGAACAACAAAAAAAATAGGGCAATACCAGTACCACCATTTCCTCAACCGTTCTGTAGACAACAAAAGCCCAATAATGAAGTTGATGTTAAATTTCGGATGTTTACGAATGAAACTTTCAAAGTCCTTAATCACTATCGCGCTAAGAGTTACTGCTCCAACCTCACTGAAATATGGTATGCGGGAGGTACGAGAGCTGATAAGATCGAAAAACATAAGACTATCGGTTAGTGATAAGAGTGGAGAGTTCGTTGTAATTCCCCATCAGTTAGATGTTGAGATAACGGAAAAGCACCTTGAAGATGCTTCCCTTTATCGTCCATCGTCTGAGAAGGAATTTAAAAGTCAATACCGAAAGTTAAAAAACGAATGAGTTAAAGTGGCAAGAGCGGCTGGGTTAAAACCATCAGTTATCTTTCATCTCAAAATTGACATACCAACATGTCCCGTCCTGTACTTACTTATCAAAACCCATAAGTTAGTATCCAGCGATGATTTCGTGTCTACCGATCCATCGTTATTCAAGGTTAGACCTATCATTAGCTGTGTGGACGGGCCAACGGATAGAATAACGTGGTTAATAACCCTAATACTTACTCAGTTGTTGAAGTACATTCCAGCCCATCTATCGAACACCCAAATGTTTCTGGATCGTCTACGTAACGCGCGACCCAACAGCGCGTACGTGGTGGAGTCCTTCGACGTCGCTGCCCTCTATACGAACGTGTCGAATGACTCTGCTATGCAAGCCATAAGCGAG